ATTAAAATGCACAAAAGAAACTGGCAGTGGAAGGATGCGTTCTGTATACATGACTAGAAAAAAAGAGTGCAGGTTAAATTTAAAATCTATGCAGTTCCTTTCTTTTTACACAGGTATCAGTGCAGAATGAATAGTACTGAGACAAATATAATTATAAAATAGAGACAACTGGCTACAGTCACTACACAATATTGGAGTGGGTCCTCTCCCTGTCTGCAAGTATTTGATGTATTAATTCCCACATTGTAATTTGGGTCTTGCAACCCTGAGAATGAGGGCGAAGTCCTGAAATAATGAATGGCATAGGGTGAAGAAAACTGAGCAGCAGTCTCTTTAATACTGCAGTCAAAACCACTTCACTTCCCTTGGACTTCTCTTCCCATTTCTCAAATAAAATGCATTTTCAACCTGCCTTGTGGGAGCTTGGCTCCTGCCATGCCGGATATCCCTGCTCAGCAGAGAGCTGCATTCCCCTCAGCCTGCAGCACTTACGCACAGGAAGCATGGCACAGAGCTGCTCCAGGCTCACTGCCAGTGACTCGGACATGGCCTCTCCTTGATCCCAACCTGCTGGACATAATGAGTTTGTGCCCTTCCTGTGGAGAGCCAGGCTAAAGACAGATGCTGGAGCTGGTCACTGAAGATACCCAAACATGGCAAAAATGCCAAGGTGTGTGAGGACAGGCATTGCAAGCAAGGACAGGTTCCTATCCAGCTGATGAAAGAAATTTCCTTAACTTTTAATGTCTCAGCAGCTGAATTTGTAAAATAAGAACTTAATGTTCTAGTAAGGTATTAACACAAAGTCTCAGCTCCATTCAAGTCAATAGGAGCCTCATCTCTGACTTCAGTCTGAATAGCTGGTATAGGCTTATTTTAGTAACTAGCTGTGTATCACAACAACTATCATAAAAAGATATCATGTATAACAATTAGTTTTATGATTTTTATCAGTAGGATACATGGAATGCTTCTGAAACAAGATGTTTCTGGGAGAGTTCTGTAAATGTAACTTTTACGAGAATAACAATACCACCTACCTGGTCTGATCTAGTAAACAATGTTTGCCAGTTCCAGGTAGCAAATATCTCAGTGGAGTCAAACAGAACACAGTCAACTAAGTCCTTCCTTTGCTTTAAACACAGACAACAGGAACATCAGTTATCCCACATGCTGCTGATAAAAATGGGGTGGTTTGTTTTTACTGAAACCCTCCCTGTTGGTTTCCTGTGTGGCCATGGGCAAGGCAGGCACAGGGGCTGTGTGTCACTTCTGTTTCTCTGGAATGAAACGAGCTCTGCTACCAACTTCTCAGGAGACAGGTAATGATCAAGATTTTGATCTTTTGATGAGCTGCAGCACAGAAGAGCAAGATGCTTTCATTATTAATATTCTCATACATTTATCCTGTAGTAATTTATTGCACAAGCCAAGAATTATTCCTCAAAGAAGTGTAGAAGATAAATCTTCTAGGGCTGTTCTATGAGTGACAGAGCCAGGGAATGCTGGATTCCTACAGATTTGAGTTTGTTGCTTACTGAACTCTGCTTCCTCCTCCCTTAATAAAAGCCCTGCTGCATGTTCCGTGCAACACCCACTGGGTATGGAGAGCACATGCTGCAGTCACCACAGCCATCACAGACTGGCCAGCTGACCAGGTTAAATAAAATGCCTGTATTCTTTTTTGGTTTTTTCACATGGGGGTCGTTAAGCTGTGGAGTCTGCCCTCTGTGTATTATTTTATGTGCTATTATTTTTTTCAGTAAAAAGCCCTCTTAAGATCACACTTGCAGGATTTAAATGAAGCCAAGGATGGCCAATAGGCCTGAAATCTGTGGGGCAGAGTAACAACAGATGAATCAACCACAAAAATCTTTTCCTTTTAGGAAACTGGGGGTGTTTCTCCCACCCCTCATGTGTGGGATAGAAATGCAATATCAAGACTCGCAGACAACCCTCTGTTTCATGGCAATGAAGTGCAATACAATTAGCTTAGGGCATTTTCATGTTTTTAAGACAGTTTCCCCATATTGTCATGACAGGGTTAAATCCTTTTTCAGGTTCTAGATAAGCATTTAACAATCTTAGTATATCTTAATGTCTTAATGTAATCATTATAGATTTTCAAACCCCTTTGTTTGGGGATAATTCTTACAGCATATTTTATTGAAAACTGCTAGTATGTTAGAGTGAATGGAAAGTGTAATTTTGTCTAAAATTTCATAAGGAAAAATGTCACATACGGATAAACTACATTTCTAATGCCTTGAAAATATAAAGTATTGAGCCTAATTCTAAAGCTGTCCTTTTTACAATTGAATTTAGCTTTTTGGCCTTAAGATCAGTATTCCATTAAGTCACAGGCTGATGAAAGACACATAGGTAATAGGAGGAGCAGAAGCCTGTTCTTTGGCCTGGCTAACTGCAGACAGTCCAAATAGCTATTTTAATACATCTTACTCTGTTAGGAGAATTACAGTGTCATGCATTTGTGCTTACAGCACTAGCACTAGCAAGGTGATAGGTAAGCTCAGTTATTTGAGTATGGTTTACCTAAACTAACAGGAGCACCCAGGAAAGCTGACAGCTCTAAAGACACCAACTACAATGCAACTACATGGATATGACTCCACCAAGATTGGATGAGGAGACTGTATCTTTTCTTATTCAGTCCAGAAAATACAAGAATACAGAAGGCCAAAAGGCCTTCCCTAATGTCTTTAATGGAAAAATATACTACATAATTATGTGACTCCTAATTAACAAAAGCTGGCTCTGAATTCTTCTGTTTAAGATGTACTGGCCTGCACAGCCCTAAACTAACAGCTTTAACTCAGTACCTTCAGTAAGTGTGTGACCATGTGCTCTGGGCTTCTCAGTGGTTCAGATCACTGACTTTGCACAGTCCCTGTGAGATATATCCATCAATCCTGTCTCCTGGTGGCTCACACAGACAGCTTAGTCATGAAAGGTTTCATTTCTTAAATGAAAAATTCAGATGAAGATTGCTGCTGTCTGTGATTCAACTGCCTGTGAAAAATAGCAATGTCATCTAATATTCATTGTTTGAATAGTGCTGGTGTACTGGAGTGATAATCGAAGTAAAATCAATTGTAATTCTGACTGCAAATAAGGTCTCTGTGATTAGGTGATCTGAGGACACAGTTTGTGGTTGCATGGGACATCCAGAAGAGAAGAGGAAGCTTAGAAGACATACCAGAAGGTGCAGGACCCCAATTTCAACCTCACTTGAAATTGAGTTGCTAGTCCTGTGTTTCTGAGGTGAAAGTCATGTTGGTCACATCCAGTGTGAAATGCTGACCCATTACCCATCCTCTGTAGTTTCACTTTAGACAGAATCACAGAATCTGGTTTCTCTCTGATCCCACCACAAGCTAATTCAGTGTATTTTGCTGGCAGAAAATAGCTAGCTTTGATTTGGGTGGGCATGAGGTTTGTGTCAGTGCTATTCAAAGCAGAACACAAAAGCACAGGGAAGCAAAGTGACTTGGTAGGCCAGAGGGGAATCTCTTCCAAGTCTTTTATAATACCAGTCCAATAGAGTGACCACAAGGCTTCATGTGTTGCTTAAAATATTGAAATGGCCTCCAACACTTCAGTGTCAAAATCAATAGCATTCTGATGAATTGGGACATTAATTTTCTTCTCCCTCCCCCCTTCCCACATTTTTAATCTCTTTGTGCTGATATACTAAATTTGTTTTGAGGTTTCAGATAAATTTGGAACATTTTAGCTTTTAATTTTAATTAGTAGGCACGAGAGGACCTGACCCCTTTTATAATAACTGGAAGGGTTGAATAATCAAAGTCTGAGTAGTCAAGGTCAAAATACATTTCTTAATGTACATCTTATAGTTATCTAATACCAACTCAATACACCACAGATGTAAATCTACAAAATCTTTCGAACCCAAATATTTGTTTTTTCTCTATTAACATATTAAAAAAGACACCATTTATAAATTGAAAATTATTAATGTCACAGTTGCCTAACATTGCTTGTAGTAGCAGTGCATCTGCTCGTGTTTGGGTCTGTTCACATCAGGAATACTACTTAGGATAAAGCTGCTTCTGTCTTTAATACAGGATCTGTAATGTCACGGGAGGTTCAGTGTCTGCACCACAAGCACAATTACATAATGATGCATCACCCACAGTATCTATTGGTGTGCATTTGTCAACAAGGACGAGAGGCATATGCTTAGAGGGATCAATGTTCCTGTTAACACATTGCATCAGAGGGATGAACAGACATCCCCGTGGAAATGGATCCCAGGAGCAGGTAGCCTGGATCTGTTAAGACATTGTTCTCATTTTTCCTGAAAGTAAACATGAAATAATCTCAGCTTGGTTATGCTAATCTCTTTTCAAAGCTTGATACAATTTGTCAGAACAGGCTATTTCACCATTATAAAAACTCTGGACTCGGGGTGCTGCTCCTGCAGCAATGGATTTGGGAGAGAAAAGGGAGAAATTGGCCTATACATAGAGCTACACAGCAGCACCAGTTCATGGCAGTGCTTACAACACTACAAGTGGTGCACTAGGAGGAAGCTAAATAAGCTTGCATATGCCTGAGCCAATTAACTAAACCATCACAAGCCTGTATGTAAGTACACAAGATCTTTTCTAGCTTTAATGATTCTATGATAATTACGTCTACAATGCTGCTTCCTATGTCTCATATTCAAAATAACTGCTTCAGCCAAGTAATTCTTCAGCTTTCTGGAAAGAACAAACTAGAAGTAAGGTGTTTATATCAGAAAAGAATAAAAGGCAGGAAGAGACAACTTGTAATAGATATAATGAGCCCCTAACAAGGAATTGCTCAAGAGAGGGCAGGGTGGGGTATTGTACAACCAACCCCCATCAGGGTGAATGCTGAGGACTTGTCCCATGATTTCATCTTCAGTGCTGAGCTCACCAAACCCTTGTCCTAAAGTCTGTTTCTTTCACTGAACTTTCCTTCCCCTCCTCTAGCTCTGTTTGGAAACCTCCTGAAGCAGTGCCATGAGATCTACTGAACACTATTAGTCAGCCCTCTGCTGCCTTGGTTCTTGGCTGGTGTGTTCACACAGACTGAGATCAGAGCCTGTCCAAACCAATAAGCCACACTCTGGATGGAACATCTGAAAGGCAGAACACCCACCTGCACTTTTAATGTAGTGGTCATCACTGGCAGAGAAACTGAGAGGTGTAGGAGGTAAGCTCTGCATCTGCACAAATAAATCAGGAAATGATCCTGAATTAAGGCACCCAGTGCTCCCATCCTTTGGGAAGCCTGGGAGAGCCAGTACTGCAGATAAGAGAGCCACTGCTATGAGCAAGTAGCTCCAGAGGCTGCTTTTCATGGACTGCATGCAGCACTAGGAACTGACTGCAGGTTATGTTTTAAACAGTACCCAGCAATGTAGATGTAACTGGGTTTGGGATATTGTACTTGAGCAGTTTGCTTCCACAGGGTATCTCACTCCAGTCAGCAATCTGGCCCAGCTGCAGCCTTAGGCATTTACTTTGTAATTCACTCCCTCCAATAAAAATGTAAGAATTCATGTTTTATAAAGCTGGAAGAAAAGACTTTCTAGTGCAGTGCAAAAATGTAGTGCATCTCTCTCATCATGTTTATTCATCATTATAAATGCCACTTTTCTTTTTGACACATATGAACTTACTGCTTCTTCTCTCCAATTTTGCCTAAATGTTAAAGAAAAATTCAATCTCTAACGATCTTTCTTTCTTGTAGGTCTGTGACTCAGCTGGATGGAAGCACCTTCTTTATTTTCTCTTTTAGGGTGCAGTCCTGAGATAAGTGAGATTTCTCATCATTTGAAGCTTAAGCGTGAGCCATTACTCAGCTAAAAGTCCAGACGAGTTGTCAGAAGGGTTCTTACCCAGCCCTGGGACAACAGGTGAGCAGGGACAAAGTAAGGCTGAGAGGAGAGCAGCATTTCACTGACTATTTAGCTGAAACATTGTAAAATATCCCAGTCACTGCCTGAGCAGAAGCTCATGATTCCACAGATCTTGGCCTGAGAAATTCCTGTTTGGGCCAGCATAGCACAGCACAGCAAGTGGTACCAACACTAAGCCAATGCCACAGAAGCCCAGGCCTTCCTAGTAAATCTCTTTGATAGCCAGTTTATCAAACACAGGATACCTACCAGGGATCAGGGAGATGCAACATGGTTAGTAACCTTCTGCATCACCAGAGAAAAACTAAGGACAGCACCAGTTTGACAGATCTTATATAACAAGTCCAAAAATCTCAGCACAGATGTAATAATCCTCTTATTTATATATCTCCTTTTGGAGAGGATGAAGGACTCTTAACATTTCAGTGCTGGAAACTTCCACTGGTGATGCAAGTTGCAGGAAAGATAGTGTCCTGAAGCACTTAGGTAGCTGAGCCTCTGCAGAACCACAGCAAGAGAGGCAACACTGTCAGGCTGCACTACCAGACAAAAAGGCACTGAGCAATCCAGGTGCAGCTGGTACCTACAGGATGTTCTTTGAGAAATGTTCTTCAGACTTCAAGTGGAAATTAGATAAAAAAAGTATGTTTCTCTCTAGCTGTAGCAGGTAATTTCTGGAAGGATTTTGCATTTGGGACATGTTCAGGAGAGATTTATCATCTTAAGGAAACTGGGATTTGCCCAAGGTCAAGACAGGATGGTCTGTGCAATTGTTTATGGTAAATCCTTAAACTGCAAAAAACAAAAAAAGTGAGCAGCCCAAAGCCTTGTACAAGCCAAAACATTAATTTTATCCTTTTCATTAAACTTTAGTTTCTCCAGGTGCTCTTAAACTTGTTTTCAATCTAAAATAGGATCCTGGGCATGAAATAGCAATCCAAAAGTTAAATCACCCAGTGATTTTTAGTATCATGAGAATTTACTTGACTAAGAGCAGCACAATTTAAATCAGTTAAGTTTTTCTGACATTAATGCCACATTCTGACATAGGAAAAATCCTGTTCTATGTCCTATCTGAAAAGGTAGTATCTAAAAAATTCTAAATTATCAACTGTTAATACAAATTCCTACAGCATACCATGACTCACCCTACCTTCCCAATTAATTGAATCACCAGAAAATATTTTGTCCACAGCAATGTTTGTATTGCAGATGGTTCAACCAGCTCATGTAGGATAGTGGGGTGCACTTCATTATCTTTTCAGCTCTCTGGAAAATGTGCTGGAGTACCAAGACCTACCAGAGTGTGCCAGTTTGTTGAATTATATATCCAAAGAGATGGTATGTGCATGAGATCTGGTAATCCTAAAAATACAGGTGGCTTTGCTTAGGTGGAGATAAAAGCAGTGGCAAAAAATATGAAAAGTTTTGCTACAGTTTGTAAGGACAGGAGAAAGAGTCACACTTCACTTTTTTGAACCCAATCCTGGGCACTTTCAAGGACAGATGGAAAGCTGACAAAGCGCAGATGCTGTGCTTACCCACTTAACCTGAGTGGGTTGCAGGTTCCAGGCTAGGCTGCATTTAGAGAGAGCCCAGTGAAAGAAACAAGCAGGCTTTCTATCCCCATCCTTTTCTGATTTAATGATTCTTTAAATGTTGTGTGTCACCTTTCCCATCTCCCAAGATGCAGAAAGTTGTTTTGACTTTCCCACTGATTTGATTTTGTCTGCCTCCAGCTTTGCAGCAATGCAAATGTCTTCCTGGCAAGAAGGAGACCCCACCTTTGATGTTTGATTTAATTACCAGCAGCCAGTGCACAAGGCAGGAAAGAGAGTAAGCAAATCCCAGTGCAGAGCCTTTGCATACACAGAACATATATTTTACATGACTGTGTAAGTTGGCTCCTACTCCTTATAGAAACCCCGCCCAACAGCTCCTTTTTGCTGTTATTTTTGTTTCCCTTTAACAGTTTCAGCCTTCTTAGCCTTCAATAGCAGATGATGCAGCAATTATGATTAACCACTAGCAAAATGTATTTTCTCTCCCTCCTGACTTGCAAACTCCAAAGTGTTAAAAAAAATAACAAATTTTGTCATACTAACTTCTGAGGTGGGTGCCACATGTGTTGTCACTGTAACACATACTTTTGATACCAAGTAAGGGTTATTGCCCTAACGTGGAGATTTCCATGCAGTGCTCTAAGTAAGGCATGTTTTGTTCCTGCAGTTTTGATAATTTAGCTGCAGGTCTGGCCTGTCTTACTATGCAGCTTATTCCTGATTCATCTGAGCTTACAAAATACCAGATAAAAATAGATTATTGTTCTATCTAAATTCCCATAATCCTTGTACTCATTAAAAATAAAGTCATGTAACTGTTCTTAGTCAGGATTGCACTAATTAGTACAACTGGCACTTCTGACCTTGTGATTTCTACCCTTAATACACTCAGGTTGGCTGTGCTGCCTGCATTAACACACCCAGCACATATAATACCTCCTTACAAAACAAAGTGCTGCAGAGAGAAATGCAAACCAGAAAATAAAGGTCAGGAGCCTGTATGGAGTTTCTCCACATCCTTATCCTTTGGCTTCATTGAATGTTTTTTATTTATTTCCATATAAGAAATTAGAAATTCACAAATGAAAATCAGGAGCTAACTCTTCATAGATCCATTAGGAGATAGGGCAGGTCCTCAAAGTGCTATTGATCAGTGGCTCTGGTTCAGGTTAGCAGTTTGTTGGATTCTGTAACAGCTCCTAGGATCTCAAAAATTTCTAGGAAATAGCAGCACAAGCTTATTAAATTTGACCTAATTTGACTGATTTATTTTTATTTTTATTGCTTTTATTTTTTTTTTTTAAAGGAAGACAGATTAATATGAAGGAAACAACTTCCTTGTTCTCACTTTACCTTAGGGAACAGCTTTATCTTTTTAGTCTTCTTCACTATGCAATAAAATTAAATGTGGGTATTTTTGTGTAGGAAATTAAAAACTGTTGGCAGCAAATTTTTGTTATGTAGCTGCTAACTTATTTATTGTTTGATTTATATGTGCCACTGGAGTCAGGAAATTACTGATCCATTAACAAATCTAATACTCTCACCATCAAGCTGTATGGATAAGTAAATTATACCAACAGCACGATCAATTCTCTGAATGTTGTAATAAAAAGCAGAAGGAACTTAAGTATGCAGGTGATAGATCTACCACAATGAGAACAGAAGTTTACATAGTTCAGAGAAATACTCAGTTGTGGTAGACTGACAATGAGAACAGAAGTTTACATAGTTCAGAGAAATACTCAGTTGTGGTAGACTGACACAGGATATAAAAATAAGAAAGATAAGAGGGAATAAGCTACATCAGGGTTTGAGGGTTTTTTAAAAATATCTCATAACACAGGAAGAAAGGAAGAACCAATGCAAACACAGAAGATTTATAAAGAATGAAGCTTTTTCTGAAAAATTTGGACTTCTGACAGAGTTTCCAAGTGGCCTGCAGGACTCATTAACCTTCCCTGAGGCACTTGTCCTAGCTATTCTGGGTGTGTGGATAATGGCTCAGACATATCTGAGGGCCTGATTCTCTATGCAGCTCCAGTCATCTGTGCTTAAATAAGAAAGGAAGACATTTTAATAGTTACTCCACAGATGCAAATGATTAATCTCAAAAATTAGCATTGTATTTATTGCTATTTCTTGCAGAATTGAGGCTTGTAAGCCTGGAGCAGAAAACAGAAATGTTGCATTGAGAAGGTAAAAGCATAGAAAAAGAATTTACCATCTAGCTGCTAATAAAATTCTAAGTTTCACAAACATTTGGGCCAAAGCCCATGAATTATTTAGTCTTGTTACCTGCATAATGTAGGTCACAACCTCCCTCTGTAATTAGGCTAAACAGTACCTACTTCTATTTCAGCTCTGTAATAAAACATTTAAGGCAACAGTTCTGATTTCAGGACTTGAGGGATGGAGAACAGAACACATGCCCTAAGTTGGGGCTTTCCCTCCCCTCCTCATCCTGAGCTCAGCTCATTATATTCTGCATGGAACTGCTGCCTCTTCAGTCTTTTGTTTTCCCAGCCGAGAGTCCATGACTGACAGCACCAGCTGAGTACTTGTACATAACACAGTGGTATTTTACTTAACCTTTGGATGAGCTAACAAGACTTCCTCCTTTCTCTAAGTTTTTCTAGACTAACTTTGTAGCTTTTATTGTCTCTGCCTGGGGTCTTTTAGGGGTTGTGTTGGTACAGCTTCACTCTGTGTGTGTAAGGTTTATTCAATGATTAATGCTAAAAATCAATCTTCACCTAGATCCTTCTCTCAGCACAACAGAGACTCGGGCAGGTGTTAGACACAGCCTTTGGTGACTGTTCTCACCTACAGGTGCTTCTGCCCACTTAACAAATCCTTAGCTGCCTGTTCTGAACTTTAGGGATCAGCTGTGGTACAAACATGGAATATCAAACCACATTTTGTGATTATTTCCCATGGAGAATGGCTGGAATAAGAAAACGCATCAGTTACCACCTAAAGTGACAGTGGAATCAACACTTAATATTGGAATAAATGGAAGTGCGAAAAGATTTTTTTTGACATAAATTAATCCAGTACTACCTAAGCAACCCTGCTTCAGCAAATATTACTGCAGGCCTGTGTTACCAATTAACGAGCTTAGTTTTAAGACTCTACTAAGTATTATTCACACCTGGTTTTGTTGTCAGTTTTGGATTAGAAATTTCCTGGAAAACCAACCCCACCCATCTTGTATCCTATAAGGTTCAGCTCTGAAGGCTCTTAAAATTGCTTGTCAGGTGAGGTCCTATAAACCATTTGGCCATGGTGTAACAAAGCAGAGCATTGCACATAAAATGTTCCACAGGTTTTGCCAGCTGCAAGAGAGTATTTAGTCAGAGCAAAAAAAAAACCAACAAACCCAAAACCCCAAAACCAAACCAAACCATCAGTTCTGTTCTAACAGATTCTAAGTTTGGCATTTTCAGTACATGAAAATTACCGTCTCATCCAGTGAAAGGAGTTTTCTTTCAGGATGCTTCAGTGTTGCCAAAAGCACAAAGGAAGTAGAAAACCCAACAGCTTTCACTTTGGGGAAAACTCTGCCAGGCTCTTCCCTTCCATCTTATCTTCTCACTTTGAATCAGTATTTGATTTTTAGTCTCACTAATATTGCAGAGGGAAATCCTGCTATCCTCTACTTCTACTTGGTCTATCTGTTCAAAGGGTCACATCTGCCCTTTTATTTACTTCTATGTGTTTATTTACAGCAGAAATGCCAATGCAGCCCTCAGTTGCCAGAAAATCTCAACTCTTGTGTTTTTTGGGATAATTTCTCTTCCTGGGACACATCTATTCCTTATGGATAGATGACCTTCCTTTTGCTCAGTATCAAACATACACTGCACGAGTGACTTGGAGCATTCAGCAACTTGTTCACATTAATAACAAATCAGTAATAAATTATGGTTTATTTAAGATAATTTATGAAAATATTGTACACAGTTGAACAGATCTGCAGAATTATACTAGCCAACTGTTAATGAAAACTTCCCTCTTCAAAAGTAATTCAGTATAAATTGACCTTTTAATTTTTCTCCTTCAGGTTCTCAAGTGAGATTATAAAAAAACAGCTCTATTGTGGCATATAATAATGAGCCACATCTGCCATCTGTTTTAGTCCTGCAATTTTGTTAAGACCAGTGTTGCTTTTTCCCAAAGCTACGCAGAAGAGCTCTACTGAGGTTACCTTATTACTCACTCCTTTTATAGATCCAGAGTTTGATCTTATTGATCCCTTTCACAACATCCACTTTTTTAGAACTTCCAATTTCCCAAGGTAAACTTAAAAATCCACATGTCACCATCCAGCAAGCTCTTTGCCACCTTTAATCCACTATCTATCTGTTCTTATCAGCCTTTAATACTTACACAATAATGCCATTTACAACAAACTCAATGATCATTTTTAAGCAAAAATACTGGCAGCCTTTATTCAGCTGCACCAGATCCCAGCACTAGCTGCTCTGAAATTCCTGATGCACCACTGCTCCTAGCCCATGGAGAAGTCTTAGTCAAACCTGGTACAAAATCAGACTGGCATTATAAAGGACAACCAACCTAAGAGATTTCTTCCTTATTCCACAGAGAGCCCAAGGACATATGGGAAGTTTAAGTTAATAGATTCTTGTTAGAGAAAAGTATTGACAAGAAAACCACTTTTTTTCTCCTCCAGGATGTATCTTCTTTGCTTTTGAGATCAAAGTAATTGCAGCACGTAACACCTGACCTCCTCAGCTGCCTATTTTTTTACCTGTAGCCTTTCATAATTTTTCACAGGATGATTTTTTTTTGTTAAATCAAGACAAAAATGGGATTTTTTTTGTAAACCAGAGTAAGCACCCATGACATTCACACATCTTTTTTTATTTGCTGTTTCAGCTGAAATTAGTGGTCTTTAAAAACGAAGAGCATCCTTTCAGAAAAGCTGACAGTTACCAGAACAGCAAAAATACAATAGAGTCCTGAGAGATAAAAATTTATTTGTCTCATCAGCATGTCATGATATGGCCACAACTCATACAGCTGACATTCTCATAGCCAAGAGGGATGTTTTTTTCTTTTTAAAAATACATTTTTCTTTCCAGCAGGAAGTATTTTTTAAAAACAAACATTTCATACTAGGCAGGAATTAAAAACAATGGCTTTTTCAGTTTGACAACACGGCTGGTAAGCACTGGATCCCCCACCAGTGTCTTAATATTCAGATTTCAAGTTTTCCCTCCTGCTCCCCAATTCTCCCCACCCCTCACTGAAAAACACCACACAGAAAAACAAGACAAAGCCCAGAAGGGAAACAAAGAGGTAGATGTCACTACAACCATGGCGCTGTTTTGGAAATTGTGCGAGATGTCTCACAATGCTCCAAGGAGTTCCTTGTCCCTTCATTAAACGTTGCAGAACTGGGCCCCCAGCAGTGAACTCAAGAGGTGGCAGGAGCCAAGAGCCATCGCCAGCGAGAGGTGCCAGGGCTGCAGAATGAGTGGGGCTGTCCCACCTAGCATTGCTCTGCCCAGCTGGTGTGGCATAAAAACAGATCCCTCTTCAAAACCGTATGGATCTCACAATGACGACAGCCTTGCTCCCAACAAGGCTGGAGTCACGTCCTTCTAGGAGGCAAACCAGGGTCAAGAGAGCTCAGGTTCTGCTCTTGGCATGCCCTCAGCTCTCAGACTTTAGGAAGACTCATTGCTACAGTGACTTGCAGAGGAACTCTGCAGCCTGGGCACTGGCACAGCTTCTAGCAGGTGCTGGAGCAAGTGAGGGCTGCAGAAGCTGCTGTCCCTTCTCCCCTATTGCTCCTCTCCTCTTGCCACTTCTGGCACTGAAACATTTGTCTCTGTGTTCTTCCTAAAAAACAATGTTATCTATCACAAATGAACACTGTGGCTGTAGAGTGAACCAAAGCATTATTTTACTATTTGTTGTGCTTATGGTAAGCACAGTAAAGGTTGTATATCCATTAGTAATAAGCACAATAAATACAACCATCAAAGAAAATCTTCTCATCTATTAAGGATCAGAAGCATATGAAATAGTCTTGAAAAAAAACTTAACTCTATTTTTGCCACAGGAAAAAAACCAAAACACCTAACCCAAAAAACCCCACAAAAAAACCACAAACCAGCCCAGGGAAAAGAAAGAAATGCTGCTTCTGGTATCTGTCTACATTTCTGAAAGACATCTTGGCTGCTGGGAAGATTTTATAAAAAAATACCCCAATTAAATAAATTCAACAAAATAATTCCAAACATGACTAGCCCTTTGCAAAACCACTGACAGTCACTCCAGGCTTCCACATCCATTTTATCACATGAAACAAAAATACAGGTAAGAGAGGAGAAAACTGGAGGTGAAGACACTGGTACCTAAAAACAAAAAAAAATTCTGTTCATCACATAATATGAACATCATGGTGGAGTAATTATAAGGAACTAACTCATTTTAATAGGACAGTTGTTCAGTGAATAATTACTTCATTATCTCATGAAAAAATAAAAGGCCTAACTTTAAAATGCATAGAATCCTTCCAATGACGACTTCTATCACAGCCAGGCAGTCTACAGCTCTTGCAGAAAAAGTAGAGTTGCTCAGAAGCATTTCTGATGTAGGCAGACATTTTAAACCAGAGTATGGTTTCCATTTTGCTCTTCCCACTGTTCCTTTCTATTTTTTTAAAAGAAGTGTAAAAACTATCAAATATGCAATTTTGCAAAATAACCCTTTATTTCATATGGCTCCATTATTTCCAAAAAATACAGAACCCCAGATGTATAATTTTGTGTGATTGTATCAGATCACCACAAAATCTCCAGCTGACTGTCAAGAGAATGCATCCAACCCTGGGCTCGTGATTTGGAAATCCCAGTTTTAGGTACCTTTGGTCCCAAAATTTACGTCAAGGCAAAGCGGAGCAGTTGAATCCTGTCACACACAGTGATCGGTATCTGTTATTATCTTGTACAAACAGGTGAAAAAAGTTAACAGCACTTTATGGCAGTGTCACACAAAGAAAAGTTACATCATCTGCAAACCAAGTGAACAATGAACAGTACCACAGTGATAGCTTTATTTTTACTGCAAGAAGATGCACCTTATTTTTAATGCTGAGGGAGGAGGGAGAGGGAAGCTTTTATTTTTCCAGGAAAGCAAGGTAAACTGAAATTTCACTTTTCAGTGTGACAGCAACTTTAAAAAAAAAAGGGGGGCGGGGGGAGAAAAGAAGGAAAAGAGACACCATGGTTGCAAAACTCAACAGAACCACACATGGAACCCAAGTGAGATTGAAATGATGGTGCACTCACCCCAGGGCACTGAAGAAATTGCTCGGTGTGGATGGGCAGGTGCTCTTCACATCATGGGATTCACAGAGCAGAAAAGCTAAACCGTGAGGACTGACACAACTTCAACTGTAACAACTTCTTTATGAACAATTAAACATAGAAACATGAAGATGCTTTGTGGGCAACCCTAGCAGAGAACCATCTTTATTCTTATTATTTGCAATGCACCCAAATTACTCTGTTCTCACTTCTGTGTGCAACAGCTTTCAGTTAGAATTTTTTCTGTTTTTAGTTTTTGATCATTTTACACATTTTCCATTATTTTTTCCCTAATATAAATTCAATGTGATACTAATTTGTGATCAATTGTATAGTTCATTAACATCACTTTCTAACAAAACACATTTTGAACTCCGCAGAGGAGGCAACGGTACAGCAAAATGCCCACTACATCCAGAACTGGAGCCAACTGCCAGAAGGTAGAACTGAAGTGCAGCTGACAGGAATTAGTGTTTTATGGACTCACCTGCTAAGCTCCAGACTGTCTAGACCAGCACAATATTTTTAGCACTGAATTTCCTACCTATTGTACCCATTTTACATTTTTCCCTTCATAACAGAACTTATTTTATCTGATTTATTCTCTTTCATGAAGCAGCATCCAGCATCATGCTGGGAGGGTCCTTCAGAGTTGCTTTCCAACAGTTTCATTCTGGTGTCACCCACAGCAACTCAGCGAGCCACGGTGTCAGCTGCTCTTCATGTTTCCCAGTGCAAGCAGGAGAGAAACCGGGGACCTGACACTATTTCCTCACCCTACTGAAACAACAACCAGTGCTTGGAAACAACAGTCTTGCAAGATTAAGAACTACAGAGGAACAAAGTGAAAATGAACAGGACCAGATCAATCTAACGCTTGTCTGAAACATTATTGCGCAGTGCTAATTTCTTGAGGCAGCACGTGAACATTTGCTGTTGGCTGCAACCCACTGGGAAAATAAAAATACTGCATTTGACAAAACAAGATGCCCTTACATGGAGTTCACAGGGTCTAGAAAGAACAATCTCCTGATGTGAGTAACTGCTGTGCAATCTGCTTATGTAAACTTCCCTTTTTGCATCAGTCCAGTCTGTCCTAGCTCGAAGTAAAATGAGCTGTACTCTGGGCATCTCTGTGGTTCTGATCAAACTACATGGGGGAGGACAGCAGTGAGTAGCTTGCCACCTGCCTTCTGCAGTTTTAAGGGTCAGTCCCATGGGCAGCAGAAACAACCACTTCTACAACAGTGCTGGGCTGCCCCAACACACCCCTGTCAAATGGCAGATTAAATACTTTCTTTCCATCAGCTGAACTTCAGCAAGAACAACATGAAACAACAAACACTCCACATACTCTCTCCTTATCACGGCATACCTACCTCTTTTTAATGGTTACACCAAAATTCAGGTGCAGAGATGGTATTTATAAACAGCATCTTGCCTCAAACATGAAGCTATTGGCAACCGCTGTGCTTTGCCTCCAGCCTCCTGTGGAGTCAGGGAGGGAACACACACTTCAGGGGACCTTACAGTGGTATGTCATTTACCATCCATCTCCACTGAGCAACCACTGCTGCATGGAGAGGGACAGGGATGGCATATTTGACAAGGTATTTTTCCACAAAGCCAGGGAAATTGGCACTGTCTTGTGTTTTGGTATGCTCTTTGCTCCCCCTGCTCCCAGAAAGAGAACACTGGCAAGGTTTTGTATTCTGCACACCACCTCCTGTGATTCATGTAGCAGCAGAGGGAGACAGAAGGGGAATCAATATTGCTAGCTCAGAGCCAAAACTACTGAGGGCTTACTTTGTTCTCAACAAAATTACTCTGTAAAAGGCAATATGCCAACATCTGAAGTTCTGGCTACCCTGCCTGTATTTAGAGAGATTAGTTTTATTTTAGGAACAGTTCTCGCAAATCTGTGCATAATCACATAAACACAATGCCAACCAGACCTGCCAGAAGCAAGGCTGTACATCACAGACATCCTTTCAAAAGGATCCTGCACTACACATCTGAAAGTGTCTTCTGTTCCTATCTGCCTTCAGTTCAACCCATCCTTCTTCCAGTAAGATTTTAGTGGTGAGCTAATTAATACTGCCCTCCATGTAGTTATTCAGAATATTTACCATACTTATTTTTTCAGTAGTATCTTCCTACAGATTTAGGATAGCAATTATACCTATTTTTACTTTTTACGAAACTAGTTTTTCTTCTATTACTCCTTAGCAAAACATTAAGATGGTTGGCATTGTATCATTTAAACTCTCCCACAAGTATATTTAGCACTGTTGCAACTAGTGGGGAGAAAAAGGCCTCTATAAACCACTCCAAGGTCACCTTGGTTGGACTGCAGTATACAAAATACAAAGGTGGCTAAAAATCACCGGCAGCACCAGCAGGCCTTCAGAAACAGCTAGAATTGCTCTGCCTTCCAATGCATGACAAACAAAGCTTCCCTCTGTTCCCTAAGTTTTATGCCTTTCCTTCACTGACATTTCATCTTTGAAAGTGCATTTTCAAAACTGATGATGAGGGTTGAGCTGCATTCTGAACAAAAAGGGAATTTAACTGAGTGAGTTTGTATTTTCCAAGTTTCCCTATAACACGAGACACTGGTAGCACATGGAACTTGGAGAGCTGATGGCAAGACCACAGCAGGGATGGGCTGATTCATCCCAGGTGGACAGCTTGTAATCACACTGTGATGCTGCAATGCTTGTTTGAGGACCAGTCTTGTCACAGGACAGACCTGACACCGGATCTTATTTGGGTGTTGGGTTTAGATCAATGTGTCTGGTACAACAACTGCTGACTGCGTAGCCACAAAGACACTTCCACCAGCTCTGTCGAGGATCTCTGACTCCAGCACAATGAGCTGCAATAAAGTACACGTTGTGCAAATGAGGAATCTCTACCACACCAATGCTGTACACACTACTGAAGAGACAAGTTGCTGAATTTTCTGAGCTCTAACTACAATGCCAAGAAATATTTGTGGTGACAAAGCTTTCTTGTCACAGACATTCTTCTATGGTGGTTGTACGATTGCACCTTTTGTCCAAATGCTGAAATTGCTTAAGTGTGGGTGAGAGTATACATTTTTAAAAATACAGACAATTCTTAAAATAATACATCATCAGGTCACTATGTTACTGATCTTCACTTTTAGTGGAGTTTAAAATTCCCCCAAAGAGAGGTAAAAGTCCATCCAGTATTTTCCTTTACTCTTGAATATTCACATTTGCACATACAACATGATACTCATTTGCAAGAGCCTGGATTCCCATTGTGTCCTCAAGTCCCATTCCACTTTTAAAATAGGCAATGGTACAAATACTGAAAGAGGCAGTACCACATCCCTCCTGACAAAAATGCAAATGATTGTATGGCAACCAGCCACAGGTTACTGAGGGTCATCTCCCGAGAAATCGCTTTTGTCTGACCCTGGGGTGGTGGAAAAGCTCCTGCAAGAGAAAAGAAAACACATTTAATACTTTGCATAGGAACGACAGCTTAATGTACAATTCTTTACCACCACAGCATGTCCCAGCAATGAATCACAGAATCACAGACTGATCAGGTTGGAAGAGACCCTCAAGATCATCAAGTCCGATCCAGCCCTGACACCTCAACTAAACCATGGCACCAAGTGCCACATCCAGTCTGTTTTTAAACACATCCAGGGATGGTGACTCCACCACCTCCCTGGACTGACCATTCCAATACTTCATTACCCTTTCTGTAAAAAACCTTTTCCTAATATCCAACCTATATTTCCTTTGGTGCAGCTTGAGACCGTGTCCTCTCATTCTGTCAGTTGCTGCCTGGAGAAGGAGACCAAACCCCACCTGACTACAGCCACCTTTCAGGGAGTTGTAGAGAGTGATAAGGTGACCTCTGAGTCTCCTTTTCTCCAGGCTGAACAACCCCAGCTCCCTCAGCCATTCCTCACAGGGTTTGTGTTCCAGGCTCCTCACCAGCCTCGTTGCCTCCTCTGGATGTGCTCAAGCGTCCCAATGTCCTTCCTGAACTGAGGGGCCCAGAACTGAACACAGCACTCAAGGTGCAGCCTCACCAGTGCCAGGTACTGCTCTGTGTTCTAATGCTGTCAAATTTATGCAAGATTCTCCAGAAGCCTTTAAGAAAATAAAAAACCCCAAACCAAAACACGACCTCTTATGTTAATGAATAAGAACAATTTTAATTTCCTTATAAAAGCATCCCTTAGAAGCTGCTAGCACTGTACTCAACCTTTGCAGAGATATTCAACTGTCAACTAAGCTTTGTGGTACTTTTGAAGTTTTATTAGTACCGCCAGGATCAAATTTAATGGATTCCATATAAAACTCTATAGCTGTTTGGTGGTGATATACTGTGAAAAAGCAACAAACATCCATTCTTGAGGTTCCTCTTGAAAATGTAAATACACACACACACACTTTCTTTAAAGAACAGTTTCCACATATTGTTTGAACACTCAGTCATATTGACTAAGGAAACATAATTTGCCATGGAGTTTTCCAGAAATTCTTTACTGAAATCTTTGCTTAGTTGGAGAAGACTGGAAGAGATTCAACTGACAATAAAATTTGTTTTTTCCATACTTTGACATTCTCTGATTTGCAACACTAAATTAAATGTGCCTGAATACATCATCAGAGCTTTATGATCATAAGCAAACTACTTGCATATATTTACATCAGCATATTAAATGATCTGTGTTACATTGTACTGAAATGCACAAAGACTTGATGACACAAAGCACTTTTGTTGTTGTTAATCCTGAACAGGGGATATAAAACTCTGAATATACCAGACAAGATGATGTACTTGTTGCAGCATTACGGAGTCTCAGCTTCTCTCAGAAGAACATGAAATCAATGATTTGAGAGTAAAGATGCAGCAATGTCAATTTTTAATCTTAGGAACCACACAATTTGGGCAATTAGATACCATCAGCAGCTTATCTCTGTGCTTCAGATTTGCAATCACTGGAAGAACTGCAATCAAGCATCTGAGACAAAGCTTTTCTTCCTGCATGAATGCTCTTAATTAAAAAAAAAAAGAAAAAAAAAAAAAGCGCAAAACCAAAGCAAACAAAGAAAAAGCCTAAAAACACCCTTGATGATCCCCGTCCACCTTTCCCTGATAGGTATTTCATACTTGGGCAGATCTGCCACATCATTATTCCCCAGAAACTCACACCTAAGCTTCTGTCTACTCTATGTTGGATTTATTCTTCCATAGCCCATTTGTTTTTTTGTACCAACAATGACCTCTGGCTTAAATACCTTTCCTTTTTCTCTGTTAAGTACAGACCGCGGTCTCTTCCCCCTCTCCCAAGTCATCTTTGACCCTTCTCTTTCCCAGCTGAGACAAGCCAAGTGCTTTTAGTTGCCCTTCACAGAAATGACTCCACCTTTCCCTTAATCTTAGCTCCCATTATCCCTCCCTCTCCCCAGTTCAATTTGTATTCCTTGACAGGAATGATGGACCTGTATGCAGGATTTCCAGGTAAGTTTTCAGATCTGGTAGAACAAAGAGTGCTTCCACAGCATTAGGGATGGCATTCCTTACTTTTTTCATCACTTCACACTACCCGGCTTCAGAGCACAGGGAATGAGGAGCATGATTACTTCAGCACACCATCACTCATTTCCAACTGCCCCTGGTTTATGTTTGGGGTTTTTCCTTTAATTGGTCCCCGAGTGTTTTTGTCCTGATAAATGTAATCTCACTTGTGCTACTGTGGGCTTCAAGGTTATCTTGCTACGGAGTTCAGAATTGCCAAGAACTTGCCAATACAAGTTTTCCACTATCTGCCTAAAACAAGAGTCTGTTACCTACAGCTTTTAACTTGAAAGGGGTTTAATTTTATAAATGAAATCTGTAAAATACACCTGTAAAAAATTATGGGATAATTTCATGTCAAATTTTAGGCATACTTTTGTTTTGGTTTGATTTCCAGAGGTCTAATATTACAGGTTTTCCCCAGGTGATTTAAGTTCTTGACACTTAAGAATACTGCAAAATGGAAAAAGGTGCTCTGAGCTTTGTTTCTTTCTCTTCACATATAAAAATAAGCCAAGAAAATGTATTTTTACCAGTGATACTTGTCAATGCAAACTTTTAAAGTTCCATGGAGCATTAAATTTTATTCCAGCTTCATGAAATAAGCTTTATTAAGAGAGAGAAATTCCTAAGCAGTGTGTATTGTAAAATAATATAATGATAATAATGGTAACAGTAATAATAATAATAATAATAATAATAATAATAATAATAATAATAGTAGTAGTAGTAATAATAATAATAATAGAAACAGCTCTAAGTCTTAAAACCACACCCACTTATGACCATGTACCAGGTGAGTACAAAGCTGGCTTTTGAGGAGCCTCAGGATTCCCCTCACAGTTAACCTCAGGACCTTTCCAAGGGGTTGTCAAAAACTGTAGCCTTTTTCAGTAGGCCAACTAAAGCAATGCAAGCAAGTCCTCAAAAAGTATAAATGGCAGTAACTTTAAATTATGCTTATTTATGCCTAATAAAGTCCTATGCCACAGCATTTACATTTAAAACATGTCTTTATTAATTCATACTGATTGCACTGGCAAATTATTACCAATTATGCTATTTTGAAAGTGCATTTTAATGAATAAATCTGATTATATTAATTATACTCTCAAATTCTGGACTAGTTAGATTTTCTGGGTACGACTTATTTCAATAGCATAAAATAATGTCACGAAACCAAGAATTCTTTACAATCTATTTGCTACACTTCTGTTTTTAAAGATATTCACAAAGTTATTTGTCTAATAAAATCCAATATATGTATTTGGATGTGATTTATATAGCAGAGTCTGAACTTTGCCATCAATGATGGCTGAGTGACAGCAACACTTCAAAAAACAAAACTCTGGGTTGTTAAAGAATTCTATTCATCTCTTTAAGCACTTGGATTGATAAATTAAGCACTCAAAACTAAATTAAAGCAGCCTTTGCAATAAATCATCTCACAGTAAAAGGTTCTTCTTTTAAGTCACCCAGGAATACTAAACTCAGCTTATCTGAGACACTGAACACTTGATCCCATCAACTGTGATGCACCAGGCTGCACATAACGGCTCCAGAGACTGTGTGCCATGTAATTCTCACAGGTCCTTCCAATCATACTTTCAGTCATGGATCTTTGCCATCAAATCCCATACTGTTACTGTTTTGACTCCTTTGAAACATTATCCTTATTCTAATGTTGCCCAGGTAATTTACCTTTTCTAGGTAATTCACCTTTTCTAGGTAATTCTTTAATCATACTTCTTGCCACATAAAAAGCAGTAATAACAGCAGAAATTGTATCTCCTGTACCCATGTGAAGAATGCTTACACATTCTGAAACCGTTCTGAGATCCTTGTAAGGAAGTCACTACCAAAGCACAGTTCTCTTTGCTAGGTATCATTCTACCTGTTTCATAGAAATGTGTCAAGAGGTCCTCCTTTTCAATGAATCGTTGATATAGCCAGTTTGTGAGAGCTTCGGGCTCTGTAGGTACATCTTTCACTGGAAAAATCCTATCAAAGAAACAAACACAAATTAAATCTAGCAAATGTATTCTCCACGTGGAGAACAAAACTCTTCTGCCCCAGCTCACCACAAAACAGAGAGAACAGAACTTTTGTAAAAATCCAACTGTGTGATGTGCACTCCCTCCAACTCACAGATCACAGAGGCACGAAGGATACAAGAGTGGGAAACTCCAGGCTGCCATCCAGAACCACACAGAAGACACCGACATCAGTCTCCACTTCTGATAAAAGCTACTAAGGTGCTGGTTTGGTTTTTATTAAATAGAATACCATCACACTGTATATTACTATCCCTAAAAAGAATACAAACTAAGGAAGAATGAAAGAAATAAAAAAATGAGCAAGTTCATTCACAGCTTTGAAGAAACAATTCAGCAGGCAGAAGCCACATAATGACATCACTAAGCACCAATAGCTCTTCCACATCCCAGAAAACAAGCCCTCTGTGCTTTTCAAAGGATGCTGGCAGCTTTGTGTGAGATTTCTAAGGCACATTTTATACTGAAAACTGACCCTGTACTCAAATATTGCTGCTCTGTTCTAAAAACACCAATGGAAGAACTGCTAGTGCTTTGGTACTTCTATGCTGAATATCAGCTCTGCTTAAAAAAACAGACACCCAGGGCAGAATTCACTGTGGTACACACACCCTGAAACTCCCAAATGACCCACCATACCTCACTGGATTATTTTCAAAATAGAATTTCCAATCTTGCAGTAACTGTGAAACCTCCTTAGCAGACCCTCAGTGCCTTTGGATATACACAAGAAATTACACATCCACTGCGTTGTACTGGCAGGCCAATGCAGAAGAGATTTGTCTATCAGGCTAACCTGAAAACTTCACACTCTGAAATGCAGCGCCTTTACTGGAGGTTTCTCTTTCCAGGTGAGCTCCCACTTAGCCTCTCATTTACATAATTCTATTTTCATTCCTGGATTTTCATTTCAACACAGTCTAAACTGATCACAGTGCAAAGAATTGAAAGTAACACCACAATCACCTGAGCAGTCTCTGGACAGATTTGTGAATGTCAGAATAAGAAAATAAGGCATTTTTGAAGAATGCTTTTGCTGCTGTTACAGTTTTCAACATCTTTTCCAGTTTTGTTCATTTGTCACTTGTCCTTCCTCCTTTCAGTCTGATGTATGGAAAAATAAGCTGTAAGTGGGGGAGTCAAGCAGCAAAGCATTGCTCTAAATGAGTGAATGACAATCATGGTGCTTTGGCATACAGAGACAATATATCCTCAATGTAAGGAGATTAACAACTTTATTGACACTCTGTAGTATCAACATGAACTCAGCTATCTCTGTAGCCTTTGGAGTAATTCTACCTACATCTTCCTCACACTATGCAGTTCTCTATGTTCCAGTAAAGCCAGTTTTGGTAACCAGAAATTAGCAGCTGTTCTCTTGGATAAAACAGAGTTTGAAGGAAAGTCTTTGGCCAAAGACAAATGTTATGAAATGGCGCTTCAGTAAGCAGCTCAAGTTTTCAGTCTGCATATTAAGAACAAACAATTAAGAACTATTTTATCTTGAAGCCCAGATGCTGTACAGCTGGTTAAAATTAAACCACGTAGCACAAGTAAAAAACATACCCATAGAGCAAGGACCATTTTGTTGAAGGTAGAACACTAAGAAAGACTTACTCTGTGTCCCCAAACACAACTGAGCTGCCAAGCACTATTTTTATTCTCTTCTGCCTATCTGCTGTGAAGAGATAAAAGGCTCAGCAACTGAATATTGTGTTTCACAGAGTATTTTTGAAGGACAGATGCTTGCTTACGCAGGTTTTAAGAAGGTTCAGAACTAAGAGAACGTGTGTTGCCTCAGGACAGAAGTGTAGGGTTACCTGGATTCACATGCAGTCTCCATTGTAGACTGCAAGATATTCCTCACCTCTACCTTCACTTTTTCTTGACCTAATGTGTAACAGCTCTATTTTGTCAAGAACATTCCTCCTAGTCCGAAAACATCACAGGATTTTGCCAGATACCTGTTAGAAACATTTTTTGAGCTGGTGCTTTAATGGAGCAATGAAGTGATGCAGAGGTGATACCACCACTGTGAGAGACTAATGGAATGCTGCATACCACTTCCCTGCTTGAACCCATCCAGGCTCTTGTGTGGATCAATAATGCTGCTGGAATATAATACAAACTCTGGGTATAAACTCTGCTTCTTAGAAGTCTGAGAAGCAATCACTGCTACACCCAGTTTGAACAAATATTAACAGAGGGAAAAACAACTGGTTTGCCAATAATGCTACACTGGCTGCCACAACTTAGCAATGGTTAAGTGCTAGTGTATTTAGAAGCATTTTCAAATGTATTTTTAGATTATCCAGAGTTATTTTTACCAGCAGAACATTCTTACTAATGACTGATCTAAATTAGAGATTAAATATTAAAATAAACCAACTCCAAACTCTGGAAAGAAGCCCTTTCTGTACTCAATAAGGCAAAGCTAAACCCCATTATATTTAAACTAAACATACTGCTAATGCCACGGTTTTCTGCCCATCAGATGGCTCAGCTGCCATTTTTCTAAGAACACTCTCTTGAAGGAGACTGGGTTCAGGAAGGCAAGCAAGCAAGTCTGCTGTTATAAAACACAGATAATCTAAGACAAAAGCAGGGAGCCCCTGCTCTGATGGGAGCAGGGTCACCCCCAAACACCATATGCTGGCATTTCCCAGGTCCAGCGTTAAAAGATGCAGAAAACAGTTCCTTATTTTCACTGAGATATGCAAACAGGTGTCCATGTGGTCAAGGCATGAGCATCACCTTGGCTCTACTCCACCTCTGAGTATGCAGCATCAGGAATGCCATTAGAAGCAAACTGTTTGCTCCTCTCCTCAGGAAAATAAAACAGCATCAAACAGAACTGTCAAGACAAGGAACAAGGTCAATATGTAACATCTGAAGCTCCTGGAGTCTCTTGGGCACATGAATGTTTCTAGCTTTTGGGCAAAACTCACCTCACATTGCACTGTAATAGGAGCATCTTTGCTCCTGGTGTGGCAAACAAGGAATTTAACAGAACTGGATAAGAACTTGACCAGAAAATTCAAGCAGAATACCTTTTTTTGCTTCTCATCACAGGAACAGCTGATTCTCTGTCCCCAGGGAAAGTGAGGAAGGGGCTAAAAGCAGTGGCAGCACATGCTGCACCCAGGGAAGTGAAAAGGGGTGGTGGAAACAAAGACACATTTCAGTGGGAATCTGTGAAGAATCTTTTTCCAGTAATGAAGCATTATCCTTCAGCTGGAGATGCCTACTGGCATCTGCAAGGTGACAACAGCTGCAGGGTACTTCGAGTACCTGACTGAGGGACAGCAACTTCTTAAACCACTACACAGATTTGTGTCCACATCCCAAAACAGATTACAGTAGAATAAATAACAGTCCAGGAAAGAAGAAAGGATTTGAAAAATCAGGAGATGTAACGGCCAAAGACATGCTGGCATATGTGAGAATTATGGAGAAATAGGTACTGATTGGCTGTTTCTCAGAAGATACCAAAGGATTTTCAGAAATATGGCATATTTAGAAACGTCTATCTCTTTTAAGTCATCCTTATTGGAGAAACAACCTCTGATCCTGCATTTAAATTCTGAAGTTCATGGCTAACCCTTTAAGTACTAACTGCCTTTTATCAGCTGTCCTACCCTGAACTGAAGTTCTGTATTACTTGCTACTCCACATCAGTCATGACATTATTTGCTGCTTCAATGGCTCTAAATAAATCTAGGACAGTGGAGGCTGTTGGTAGATGTCAGGCATGACCAAAAATAAGCTACTTGCGTAAAAAAGTGCATTAAAATACACTGCCAAACGGGATGCCCTTCTGCAACATTCATTCAGCAACCACAATGCATTTCACCTTATTTATAGCTCACAGCCTGGCTTATTTCAATAAATCTGTATCAATGCAGACACAAAAATAGAACTTCCTCAGCAGCTGAAAGCTTGTTTCAGCAGTGGCACAGCACGAAAGCTGGCATGGGGAAGAAAGATGACAGAGCTGGGAGCAGCCTGTGTGGCACTTCTATGCACGGCCACCCCTGCGTCACAGCTGATTCGGGCTGGCTCTGACGTCAGGACTGCTGCACCAGTGTCACTGTCACACAGCCCAGAAGTGGGATGTGAGAATCCAAGGACATCACCTTACAAGGAAGCTAAGGCAAAAAAACCCAGCCTCACACCACTCCTGACTGAGGGGACGCTAAGCACAGAGCCAACTTCATAGCCAGGGTGTTTTATATTTGCAAGTCTCACGTTTTGCTAACAAAACTGCAGCAACTTGAGAAATTACTGCTGAAGAAACTTGGTGATCAGTTAAGAAACACTAAGCCAATCAGACTAAACTAATGCCTGGTGTAAAAAGAAAAGAAACAAATCCCAAACTCAAGTCATAGCGCAGAAATGGTGGGAGCTGAGAAGAGCGGCCAGTCTGTGGCCTTGCTACACTGACACCAAACCACTCAGCTTGTTTCTGCAGAGTGGAAGTGTTGCAAGTCTGGATTTACAGTCAACACACACCACACAATGACCCAATCATAAACCTAAACCATCTGAGAAGAGCAAACAAACCTTTCCAACAGACTCACTACAAGGCAGGTCTTACAGTGATGCCTCTAGTTTGACATGCCTTGCACCAGATGGATTGACATCTCTCACAAAAATCCCAGTGCCATTTGGCCTGGAAGAAGTTAATTAGATATTTTCCTTGAGCATTATATTTCAGAGAGAAAACTGAGTTTTGCAGCACTTTCCAGTAAGTTCTGAGAAAAGTCAGTCAGGGTCAAAAAGTTATTCAATAGATGGGTGCAGATGTCACACCTTGTGTTTTTAGATTCAAACCTGGTAATTGTTCTTTTTTCTAGGGAAGATTTTTTTTTACATTCTGAGGAAAATCAGGCCACAGCTTAGCCTAATTATGAACTTCTGAAAATGGTGTCATTTGTACTGAAAATTGAAGTTTGAAAAGCAAGGTTCAACTCATTATCAAAACTGAGCTTTCAAAAAAAAAAAAAAAAAAAGAACTGGATTAAACCAAGCCTTCTCTGCAATTTCCACCAGCTAGAAAAGCACCTAGTAATGATAACATAAGGCTCCTTGCTGTGTTCTCTTCTGTTGTTTCCTGAGCAGGATGAAAAAGAAATAATCCTGCAGCAAAGGCTCAGGCTATGAGAAAAGGAAATCACCAAATTTGAAAGTCTGTAAGGCAGAAAGAGGCAGGTGGTGATCAAGTGGCACAGCAGAAGGGACTGACTGAGCCCCTAGAACAAAAGCAGCTCTGCAGTCTCTTCTGCTCCAGTTTGAGTGGCACAGAAAATGTTCCTTTTTTCCCCACTGCAGTCATACATCATCAATACCTTGCTCTGGACTACTCCAGAAGGGAATAAGCATGTCTAAATCCTGATTCTTCTTTCATACAGCACAGATGGCATCTGGACAAAACTATTCTTTGCTTTTTCCAAAGGGATGCTTTTTTCCCCCCTATAACTCAGTTAAAAGAAACTACATGAGAAACTATTGTGCTCTCTTCCCAGTTACTTAAAAATTACCCTGATGATTTATTTCAACTGTTATCTCCGAAGACATTCCAAATTACAAAAAAATGAGCAAAATTTTAATGCAGTAAATGCAGGCAAAGTGAGATATAATACCAATGCAGACAGACTTGATGTACATTGAAAGAAAATTTCAGAGGACATCCATGTGCCAACCTACACCCACCTCACAGTGCAGGAGCCATGTGCCTCAAGAACTACCAGGACTGGAAGTCAGGCTGAGCTCCACCCAAACCCAAGGCACTCTGGTCTCATTTCAGAGCCATCACACCCTGTGCCTGGCTGGGCCCAGTTGCTGCATGACTTTCCATTTGGGACACACTTCAACTGTTTTTACAGAGTCAGCCATGATAAATTCAGGTTATTGAGAACATACATAAAGTAGTCAAATAGAGCAGCTTGCCCCTGTCTAAACCAGTGACTTATGCCCTCTGGAAGAAAATAACAAACTTAACACCCAAAATTAAATAATTTCAAATATTTTTCTCAGAATTTCAGTACTACAAGAACTTATACATTCAAGTACAACGCAAAAACAGTTGCATTGTATTTATGTTTGTGATCAAAAATAGGTCTGGATATACATTTAGAAGCAGGAAGTTAATTCAACTTACATTAACTTACTGTTGTTTATAAAAGAAGTATTTTTGGAAATACTTTTCAGAAGAACGCTAAATACATTCAACTTGCAATTATCCCAGAGGTCTGAGAGAGTACTAAGGTGACCTAAATAAAGTACAACAGATCTAATGCTATCTTATATAAATTAGGGTGTTCACCTTCAGGGAAACTTGGAAGGCAGCTTTCTATAAAAAGTAAGGACAGATTTAAACAAGGCTGTGAAAAGGAGCTCCCGCGAGCAGCCTGTACTCTGCATCACACAACACTGACACAGCAGTGATGATGAAGAAGGTCATTCCCACTTCAACTGCCACCCAGGGGATCCACACAACAATACCTGAAAGCTTTCTGTAAAAGTCTAAAAGCTCTCCAAATCATCAAGAGGGACTAAGACAAAATAATGTGATTTTGGGATAAAATGCAACAACTTATTTAGTAGAGGAAAAGTGTTAAAAACTCCTGGAGATTTCAGATTTGCAATTCATTGTAAACTAAAAGCAAAATACAACTTCTCTCTCCATCAGTTTAGTCTTGAGACAAAGAACTACTGAGGAGAAAAGTTTTAATAATCTCCCATTCTAGCTGTCAATGTGATTTGCAACTTTTTCCACCTGGTTTTTCCAGTTGTTTTGCCCAACTACTTAAAGTATTCTTTGAGTGAGAAAGCTGGCATTTCTTTGTCAGAAAGTTAAATATAATATTTGATTAGGAAATCTCTTTTAATTGTTGTTTTAATTTAACAACAGCAATTTTCCATTAATTGACATTACTAAAAACCAAAATTTTCAAAATTCAAGTTGCGTTTACCAGCACCTTAAGATTAAAGTGATAGCCTTCAGATATATTCCCCACAACCCCATTCAACCACAGGACATGAATCCAAAACTTAAATGTCTGTCCTAAGATACAGAATAGTCACTGAACTTTTTAAAAAAAGATGTATTGTGCTTAAATAATATGAGTTGCCCACCTGTGCAAGACATAAAAAACCTACTCCCACTGCTACTGATTTCCTCTTTCCTTGGAATGACAATGATTTGTGAATACTTGAGCTCAGTGTAGGAGGAGCAGGTTTATTTCCTACCTGTAATGTACATGTGTCACTGTTGGCTGTCGGTAGCCAAGAATCCAGGTTTGGATGTCTATAGGTTCAGCTTTGGGATATGCAATGGTTGTATCTATCACCCACTGGAGGCCTTTGGGTTTGCTCTCTAGGAACAAAAAGAAAATTCCATGTCACTTATTTGAGAGTTATTCCATTTTTGTATTACTTCATGATGTATGAGGCACAAATAAGACGATCAAAAAACAAATCCAGATTTCATTACAGAGCACAGAAATATTCTTAGAAATTTCAGCTAGACCTAGATTTTATTTAACCATTATTTCTGTTTTCTTAGATACCATGGTACACAGAATAGAACAAGTTCATTCACCAGGTTTGAGTACAGTCACGGGATATCTTGGCTCGAAGATCAGGTGCTTCTTCCCATTTACCAAAAGGAAAAACCCCAAAATAAACATCCAAGCTTCTTGGTCTGCACTTCAAGCACATTTACACCTGGGCCTTTCTAAAAGACCACTGATGGAGCAGCAGCCATGCAGATCCCTCAATGGTTCTTAAAAACGTGAGTTGCAGGAAGAAGAGAAAAACCACCACTTTCAGGGTGACTCAGGGTAAGAAAGCAAGGAACAGAAGGTGGTCAGTTTTCACACTGCACCCACAAGGTTCCAGGAGAGGCTGACACCAATACATGTTCATATGCTGCTCAGCTCACTTAGAAACTGAAAAAAGAATCAAAGGAGGTGAAAACACTTGCTATTAAGATGAGTCAAGAGAATCAATCTGTGGGTCCCTTCCAACTCAGAAAATTACACGACTCTTTATAAAATCTGAATAGAGGTTACAATCAGCAACGGTCCAGGTCATAAATCAACCTAGCCATGACCTCTCTCTGGCCTGTCTTCACAGGTTTGCTAAGAGGGAGAGCAGCAGATCTGTAGAGCAAACCAAGAAGGAAGGGCACACTGCCACGATGGCACTCTGAGTTTAGCCTGTCAATTTTCCCTCTCTTCTGGATCTGTCTTGTGTTTGAGGTCACATTATGGCCAGGCCAGCAGAGAATGCTCACTTACTGCTTGAGACACCAGTACAATATACTCACACCACATCAGGCAGTATCTCAAAGGATTTAAAAAGCTGACTATCAGAAACAGCCACCCATGGGCACGAGCATGTAAGAAATGTTAGCTTTGAGTACAAAGTACAGTACAATACAAGCCTGCAGCTGAGAAAGCTACAAAAGAAATGTAACAGAGGTTGACAAGAGCACTGTCAGCATCAAGAACATGTACATGATTGACTGTTCACCATCTTTCCCAATACAAGAACAGACACTAAAAATTCAGCCAAGAGGAAAAGTTTTCTTAGCAGAGAAACGATTCTTTGTGCAGAGGGAGGAGGAAAAATCCTATTTCTTGCTAAAGGATGTCAAGGACACCAAGAACTGGGATGAAGAGGAAACTGAGTAAGTACATGAAGGGTTAACTAACCGGGCAAAAACCCCTACCTGGCTTGGGAAACCCACCACACAAGTCAGAAGCTTGGAGAATATGTGGGAGAAGTATGATGCTTGTTTGCTGTGTTCACATTCTTCCTCTGTAATCCACCTGGAGTCACAGACAAGATGCTGGGCTAGACAGATGTGTCTGGGCCTTGCCCGGAGTGGCCACACTAATTTTATGGGAGGTCTACCACACACGTGAAGAAATCTGCTGCAGTCAGTCTGAGCCACAGTTACTAACTCCAGCTAGAATGTACATGCAAGGACTGGCTTGCAAGTTTCTACCTGCTTTTAATTTCATTTAATTTGCATTTAATTTAAGTGTGAAAAGAAAATTGCAGCAATGCTATCACATGTATCAATTATTTTAACAAGCAGTGTTTTCTTGGTGTCTGCTCATCAGTGGAGTCGCACTGCTTTGTTACAAATGCACTACTCCAACAGAGCTAGACAGCATTTCCTAAAATTTAGATTTTGAGTTCTTAGCAGCACGCAACATGCTATTCCTAAACTTGACCCAGGGCAAGTTGCATAGGTCAAGCTGAAACATTCAGTGTTACCTTCTGGAAATTCAGTATTTTAAACCCCTGACAGACACATGGAATGAGAACTGGAGGCTGCAGGCTTGCCAGCATCATGACAGAGTGCTTGTCAAGTCTCTCTTAAGAAAATCACTAACTACAGAGTGCTTCATTTTAAAAGTAGCAATGAATCAGAGAAGAGCCAATATGAAATTAATATTAAATCAACAGAAGTATTCATTTAGAAATAGATTTTGAATCAAAGTCATTCAAGTTATTATTTTCCCAGATGTAAAGCAAGAATGGATAAAGACAAGTAAATTGCCAAAGTTAAATTGCCTAAGTGAGTAAGCAACAAAGATCATTAATTGCAATTAAAAAGTGCCAGATGAATATGGGCACATTTTCTTATTATTTACAGTAAAGTGTTTCAAAATAATTTATTCAATATTTAGCTGTATTTAAAGCTGTTCTTTCAGTGGATAATGGTTTGCACTTCATTAAGGGAAGACTCCTGCAGTTCTCTGCTGTGCTGATTTCCTACCTTCTGCTTTTGTGGAGAGAGCTGCTGCAGCACTGGATTCCTCAGTCCAGCTCCAAACTCACATCCAACCATTTTCAGGGCAGGGTGGGGAGAACAATACAGACAGCCCACCAGAAACCCCAGGCCAGGAAAAAAACCATAAATCTGACAGTAACATCAGTCTCTACAGACCTCCTTTTAGAGCAAGCAGGTGCTAGTGCAGCTACCTCCATGTGCTCTCAAATCACAGTATTTGTGCATGCTCTGGTTTAAAATAAGCCTTACATAATCATCCGTGATACCTGACTGCCAAAAAAGCCTGTATCACCAAGGATTTAGGAAAATTAATTTTGAAATACATCTTGTGAGGGGGGTTATACTGTGTTGCAACCTGCTCATAAGCAAATTTATTTTAAAACAGGGAGCTCTGACAGACCCTGAAAACTGCAGAAAAAAAATTGCTGAAAATCCGGAAAAGAAACTGTACAAAACACAAAGAAGTGGTACCTAAATATCTCCAAGGATGCTGCTTTCAGGTGTAAGCAGACCTCTGACCCTATTATTAACCCTAATACTAACAAACCCTATTATTTTTTAAATGGAGCATGTTAACAGGAGTGCAAATCAAAGACTGCTGCATTAGTTATAACATGGTGTGAATCTCTCATCTGGCATTTGTACCTGAGAAATCAGGGAGCTGCATACACCAGTGCTCAGGAACTCCTCTTGCCCAGCCTGGCTTGCCCAACTCAGCCACACCTTTCTGACAGCCAAACTCTTCCAACTTTCTACCTACCATTAAAAGACACTCCTACCTTTCATTTCTAGTACTTGCTGAAAGACTGAGCAGCCTGACTCTCAGAGACTTCAGCAGAAGAAGCTGCTGCAGAGGCCATACTTAAGCTGATGTCTCCAAGCACTGGTTTGTCTTCTGTGGTGTCAGTCTGTTTGCCACTTCCAGCATAGGTGGAAGACACAGACTTCTCAAACTGCTTGAAAATGTTAACAGTCTCATTCTTCTTAAATAGCACATAAACCTTCTAAATATGCTCACAGGCATCTGCCCTACACAGCCAAACCACACAGCAATGATGTACCTCAGTGTGAATGGTACATACTTGCCTTTTAAGTGGTAAGACAGAACTGAACAATCACATGAAACAGCAGCTTTCTGGCCTAGACAAAAAAAAAAAATAAAAATCAAAAATCAAATTTAAACAGCTTCCTAACTTGTTTGTTGTTTGGGGTTTTGCTTTTTTTTTCCAAATCATCAGCAGAGGCAAATCTTTACAACTATTTTCTTCACTGTGGATTCAGTGATACTAAGTCGCTCCCTATTTACTTAAGAAGCAACTCCTCATCTGAGTCTTCCAGGCAATCGAGCTGTAATCCTCTGAAGTCCTTTCACAGCAGATACTTGACTGTCTACAATCATAAATTTGTGGGGGTTCAGAGGTTCTCTTCATTCCCCCTCTCTGTCCTCCCTGGGGTTCCTATTTCCTGGGGTCAATGCAAGCTGAACACCAGATCAGACCATGTACAGAACCTCTCAAACCCACCAGCAGACTGTGTTTGCCACTGAGAAAAAACAAATCATAGACAGATTTCAGCAGGAAAGCTTGCCTCCAGCAGAGCTCTGGATGGTGTCACACTGCCAGACTGGATTCAGAGTGGGAAAGAATACACCAGCCAGGTGTGGACTTGAGGACTTCAGCTTGCACTTGAAAAAGAAAGCATTTGCTAGTGTTAACCAGCATTCAGGTGTGGTTTCCTGAACACTTGCACAACTCTAAAACGCAGCCAAATAGGCTGTTGGATCTTCCTTCACATCAATCTATTCTTGTAGCTTGTCCCTTGTTCTCTAACTGTCCTTCTGTGATCAACTGGATCACTGACCTCAAAATTAACTTTTTTCTCCAAAGATTAACTCTCAGACTGAACACCTTAATCATCATTCCAAGATCTTGACACAACAACCCACCTGGAACAAAACAATAAGCCTTTTTTCCAGGGGGAAGAAAAAACAACATCAAAGCTTTCTCACATGTTATTCAAGTCACATTCCTCACGTAACAGTGAATCAAAAAGTTTGATTTTTAAAAAAATCAATTATGAAGTTCAATATACAACCCTGCAGAAGTGAAAATTGAATTTCTCTGAGAAACAGCATCAGAACTGAATGTACTCTGCTGCATTTGAAAACAGTATGGTAAGATTTCAGTATGGCTCTAACTAAGCTCATAGCAACCTCTTACCAGACAAAAAATTGCTGCATGGTACAATAAAACAATTTAAAAAAAACACACTAGAGCAAGTTTGATCAAAAATAAGCTCTGGAATGTGCATATTTGAAGAACAATAGCTTAAAACTCCTTTGAATTGTCAGCCTTTGGCATTTAGAACATTTTGACAGTTCTAAAACTAACAAAATCAATTCTTATCAACTGAAGAAACAGTGTATTTGCAACCATGTTGAAGACTAAGTGTTGTGCTAAAAAATTCAAAAAGCTATAAAATACTCCTGCAAACACACACCTGGGTCACTATAGGGTTAGGGTGATGATGGCTTCTCATGAAGGACTTTTATACTGCCTGTATTTCTATTCTGCACTAAAACCTTCCTCTGGAATGCAGGTGCTGGCAGCAGTGCTGGCCCATCTGGAGGCTTTCATCAGACACCAGAAGTACCTTAAACTCTCTTTTCAGGGACAGACACCATTCACCATTCAAGAATGGTCATGCTATCAAATGACTGTCCTACCTTTCCTATGTTTTTCCATCCTTCTATTAATTTAGGAATACAATTACATAATTTTGTTAAATTAAACAAGAGTTTCAAAAGACAGCAAAAGCAACAAGCATTCCAGTAACTTAATTCTGTATTTACCAGCAATAAGCTAAAATTCACTCCAATGAAGGCTTGTACTTGGGTTTTTAAATATGAAAGGAAACTGATAAGATGAAAAAATTAAGAAAATAGAGGCTGCTTGTCCTGGAAAAGCCACTGATAAAGAACTGATCAGTTTAAGTACAAGAATTATCAAACAGTGTTAATCATCTAAGGAAGGTTTGTTCTTCTTGTCACTTTACAGAGGAAGAGTTAGCTACAAAACCGTGGGAAGTTCATTACTAGTATAAAAATAAATTGAAAAGAGGACTGGATATTAAGAATACTACTATCATAATTAAGACTAATGAATTTTTGGGGAGGTTAATGAACCTTGCACTTCTCAACATAAACCCACCTCTACCAAAGGGATACCATAAATCAGATTAGAGACCTTACAGCAGAACAGACGATGTAGCATTGAGCTACAATTAGCCCAATTCTTGAACTATGACTTGAAGGGCACAGCTTCAGTGACATGTGACATTAAAAACCAGCTGGGCTGAGGAGGTAGGGTGTGACACTGTATCAAACAACTGTATATGACTTGGTTTGTGTCAAACTGTGATAACAGTATATTAAGGACAAACCGTCTTTTATTATAGTTGCCTTTGCCATCTTTTCTTCTTTCACCCAGTTTTACACATCACTCCAGTTGAGAAAGTAGAATGGCATCAAATTTACAAGGTATAAAAGCTACAAGGATCATTTAAAATGAATTAAGTATTAATAAAATGACAGCAGCCAAGAACAGCACTGTGTATCATGACTCAACATTAAAATAGCTACCCAGGAAACTCAGCAGGAAGGGGACATAATTTTTGATAAGGAGAACTCTTAATCTATAAACCAATTTAACTAAAATCATGTGGGAGAGGAAGATAAATTCCCATGAATATCAATAAAGCTTGGTGGAAACAAAAAGACAGGGAGAATAATAAATAATGGAGTAGAAAGCTTATTATAGTAAGCTGAATAATTTGGCAACCCAGGACTCCAGGAACATTGTTAAGACAGTATAGAGCACAAGGAGTGCTGTAGATGAAGAATGTGTCCAGCAAACCATGAAGTTCAAGTGTGATGCTTCTGATAAAGAAACCACTTCCCAAGCAAAGGAGAAGAGTTATAATGTACAAAAGGTTTATAGGCAGTCTCTGTGCAAGCCACTGGCAACACCTTTAATCTCTGCACTACACCTGGCTCTAGCACCCACAGCTCAACTATGGTCACCTGAACAGGAGGGAAGCTTGATTTCTCTTACATGGGTTTTTTATGTGATTTAAAAAAAGGGAAAAGATAGAAGAGATTAAAAGTAAAGATATTCACTAACTTTGTTAGACTTCTAACTTTCTAATATAACCATAGCAATTTATACAATTATATTTCATGCAACTGAAGAAACATTTTCTGACATGGCAAGAGACCAATAAAAGCATTCAGAAAGCAGCAGATTAGAGGAAGAATCTTTTATATAAGATACAGATCAAGAACATCTCTGAAAGGGAAGTTTTACAATGCTAGAAACATTTTTGTATAAAAAAATTGCTAAAAAGAAGAGAGGACATAAAATACCTCAGTGTCACTATGTATCAAATACTACTTTTCCCTAGCATATAGAATTTACTTTCACTTTTTCATCCTTTTCAGTACGTTTCCAAGTCCATAACTATGAAAGAGTGACAGCTAAACCCACACATTTCATTCCTATTTTTACCCAATTATCTTTCCTTGAGTAGGATGGACAATATGGCTCCATTCTATTTCTGAGAGAATTCCTTTATTTTAGTACCCAGTTAGGTCAACTACTATCAAATGTTCATTTCTCTAGTGTCTGAATGATGCCACTCAAAGAGGGAGGGAAAAAAAAAAAGGCAGCCAGGTTTGATTTCAGCTAAGTTGATAGCAACCAAAGAATAGGAAAATATGAAATTGGTATTTGATAAGCACCTCTGGTCTCCCTCTAGAACCACACAACTTGTAATTAATTTAGGGAACTTCTTAGTCTCCATACCTTTTTAAGACAGCAAGAAATAGAACAGGAATAGGCCAAACTTTTCTCACCAAAAAAACCTAAACTTTTTAACAAGGACTGGGATATTCAGTTTCTCTCTTTTAAACTTCAAATGTTTAATGACAACAAGAGCTTTCTTCAGCCTTTCTTTTCTGCATGTAGCCTGACAAGAAACACTCTGATGCATTCCACAGCTTGATTTTTCAGCTTATTTTAAATCCTACCTTCACTACTGCAAGAACATAATCTCAATTATTTCCTATGTTGACATGAATAACTTCAAAACTAAAAATCTGAATGCAATTTCTGTACAAGGGTTTTTGCTAACCCTGAGATTGGACTATTTTCTGTCTGAAGTTCAAAAGTACTCTGCATATGTGGCTTCCTTAGTAAGGATCTTTGTTTCAAACTGCTAAATGATTATCAAAATTTGGCTGTGGACACACCAGCACCACCCATCAATAAGAAACTACCACAACTCCCCCATCCATTGTTTCTATAATAAGTAACAGAAATCCACAAGGAAGTTAACCCTGCTGCTGAACATGCCAAGAAGTTAATTTTAAAAACAGAGACTAAAGCACCACATCCCATAACTACAGGCATTATTTATAGCCCATCTATACACTCCCCTATAGCCCAGACATCCCAGAACAATAATGCTGCAGGAATATTTTTATTCTCTCTTAACTCTTCTGATATGATAGCCAAAACAATCCTTCAGATCTAGTGATCAGCGACAGTTAACTCCAGCAACAGGGACAGGCAACACAAAGATCTTTACAGAACAGAAGAACTTGAACTCAGTGGAAAATAGTTCAAGAGGAATAAAGTATACAGCAGTGGATGCAAAGAAAGCTTTAAAGCCTGGAATAAAAATATGAACATAGCTAGCATATTCCAGAAATACTTTTACTACAGTTCCATGCTGTCACAGACCAGTGCAAACCATCAATCTTGCCAAAAGGAGATGATCACCTTCTTGATCACTCTGGATGCCTCTTCCAGTATCTGCTTCACCCATTATGTGAGCCAAGCCAAGCACTCGTGCAGCCATACCTAAATCCATACCATACCATAGACTAAATCAAATTAAAACTAAGGTGGGTTTTCCTGTCTCAACATCAAAACAAAGTTAGCAGAACTAAAACTAGTTATGAAAACATAAAATGCATTATAAATGTATTTGATATTTGAGGATATTTGAAGAAACCAATTCTACACAATATTTTTCTTAACTCAGATCTTTGACATTTAATTTGCTTTATACCCACACAGTTATCTTTACCTTTTCTCACTGCATCTCCACTTGATGGAGTTCCATTTTCTTGTGGCGCTACAAGTGTTTTCAGAATTACTTGTGTTGCCCCAAGTCTTGGCAGGGTGACATGTTTAAGAAATGGCAAATTGTTTTTCTTGGCAAATGCCTGGCTTGTTTCTCTTCTTTTCCTAAGAAAGCCACCCTCTGGAAATAAAACAATCCATTTCCGATTGCGGCTCCTGTAATATTTTTCTAGATGATCTTTGAGTAACACAAGCTGCTGGTCACGGTGTGTTCTCCCCTGTAAGGATAAAACACTATCTAAATAAAATGATTGCTTAAAAGAGATAACATCAGACATAATTATCATGTTTCTAAGGTCTCTCTCTTTTCAGAGATAAAAATAAGCCCCTGAGAGAATAAAAAGCTGTGCTCTCCTCAGAGTACCTACTGGAGGTGTACAGACCAGGCCTCAGCTGGGTTACCACAGCAGAACCAGACCTCACTCAGACCCGCACTGCTCCAATGACCCACTCACTTCTCCTCTTTGATGCATTAAGACAACTTCTTCAGAACAGTAAGATACATCCTTAATTACTGCAGAAATATCTTCAGGAACAATCCTTCCTCTTCCCATCTCTGCATGCACCAAGTTAAATTTTCATAGGAATCTCTTAATACTAATTAGCATTTCTGAGTGCTCCAAAGTGACTTTGTCAAATCACTCAAAAGACATAGGAGGGCAAAATTAGAAATCTCCTCAGCAGAGGTGATTTTAATTTTCTGAAATGTCATAAAAAATGCCACAAACATTGCACTGTTTGGTGGCTAGCTGGGTTTTTTTGGTCACAGGAAGAGGGGAAGAGTAGTGGGGTTGAATTAAAGACAGTATTTTACTAAAGGTGAGTTTTGTGAAAGTGCTTCTCCTACATTTAATTCTCACCATTGCAATTACTTCTGACTGACCACACAAGGGGAAAGGAAGAGGCTCTGTCTGCTCAAATTAATGCAATCATAAAGCAATATAAAAATCCTCAGTTAAGCCAGACCTTTCTTATCAGACCACAGGACTCCAGGATAGCACAGTAGTTAAGAAAAGAACAGTGAACCATAACCACCCAAATATTACTAAAGCCTTTCTAGAGTTAGGCAAAGGACCATTACTCACTCACATGAAGTATTTTGCCACACCCAAAGGCTAACGGCCTAGAAACATTTTATTTTCAACTGGCTTGTCTCCAGACTCGCAGTGATATCATTGTATTTGTGATGTTGTCTACATCAGCCACTTTACAAAAATGAGGAAAAGCCTTAGTTTTTGCTAAGTGCTTCAGTGATGGTTTGGTTTTGTGACCAGAATTGCAACCCCACATTCAGAAATCATAGCTAACAAGGTGACAACCCTGCGGACCTCGAATGTGCATGCTGTAAATTCTACCTATTGGAACAGATTTATATTTTACAAAGCATCCAACCCTGTTCCTTCCATCCATCCTCTCACAATACACAGTTGTGTGCCTCTAGAGACCTTTGTTTTATCTAATTTTGCCTGAGGTTTTCTAACTATGCCTCTAGTGTTCTCTATGTTCTCTAGTGAGAAATCTCACTTCAGCTGTGTACTGCTGTGATTAAGCAATTCTTTATTTCATTCTGAGTAAATTAACTTATTCTCTGCAGTGTGAAAATTCATTAATTTTCTCTGGCTCTCCACACATTTTATGTCCAGAGAAAGGAATAATAAGAGGAAAAAAACATGTATGATGGATATTGCAGTTCTCATAACTGGCAACAGGTTCATGCTTTTCATTGGCCTCCTGAATTTCTACTTCAAGGGCGCAGTTTGATCAACAGCCACCTAACAACAAAAAACCCTACCCAAACTGTATAAAATAACCTGAGGGTCTCACTCATTAATATTTGAGATGCTGAGTTCAAGAGACATTCTTTCCTAATGTTCAAATAATAATTAACCTTCAAGAATGAATTAATTACTATTTATACAGGTCCATCACCACCTTGATTAATCCACTACTATGTCACCATCAAAAGGGATGGTCCTGCCTTTCCTAATTTGAAACTCTACAGCCAGAACAGTGACTCAACGAGACTCTCTGCATGGCTTCAAGGTCACTAAGGAAAGATGAGAGGTGTGCTCAGAGCCAGAGATAAAAAGGACTGCCCATGTATTTTGCCTGTACACCTCTCTCACAATAGGCTCCCTTCACAACTGGATTCCACAATCATTTGTGTCTATGCAAATAATAAAAATAGCTTGGAAAACAAAGTAGCTTCAGAGCAAAGACCTCCCCAAATACACACTTTACAGCATAGCTATTTCATCATGCAAACCAACAAGGAGGTGAGAAATAAGTCCCATAACACCACAGTATTCAAAATATATAAGGATAAATCAAAGCACTATAATGTGTTTGCATTTACCTGTCTTATAAAGAAGTCTCCATGGATTAGAGACACAATGCCAAAATTTGTATACTTGAAAATATGATCCATCAGCCACATCATCTGACGGACAACCTGAAAAGTTAAAAAAAAAAAAAAAAATTAAAAATGAGTGAATTATCAAGTGCAGAGAATTATGGATTATGAATATACAGGTCACATTCTTGTCAACTCCCACAACAGCAATACAACTAGCAAATAAATAGAATAAGATCCTTTATGTCCAAAACATAAAGCAGCACAGGTGCTATGCTTCTCCCTTGAGAGCAGAATTAAATAGCTGCCTTTCTGTTATGTAATATACAGTTCTACAATTTTAGCTATGGCAGAGCAGCCACATGTATCCCTGAGAGCTTAAACAGATCCTGCTGCTCATCCCAGTCAAGCAGCACAGCAGGAAGGCAAAAACAGAGTTTGAGCTGATCAATTCACTTGACCATCACTTCTTACAGGACAGTGAGGCAGCTACTTTACTTGTTCAATCCTTAGAGATTTAAAATAGGAGAATTTCTCCCAACAAAGTAAACAACAGAAGGGAATAGCTGCTTTTCTCATGAGGTCTTTTTCCTTGATCTCTCCTACATGTAGTTTTTGAGAGGGTAGGAAGCAGTTCTCCAAAACTGGAAAATCCAGTGTCTCTGACATGTTCCAAATCATAGGCTAGGCTGCCTTTTCCCTGTGCTATGAAGCCACATCACTACTGGTGCAAGTTCAGTGAAACTGAAGTTACCTAAGACAGTACTCTTCTATTTATCACTATCAAAAAAGAATGTGAAGGACTGTGACATTTCTCTGGTGGTCAAATGACCATTCATGCACCTTCTGCTTCGCATCTCTCATGCACTTTGAGGCAAACACAAAAGAGAGCAGTCTAAGAAACAAAAATAACATGCTGGTATCCCTTCCTGTCTGCCAGTGGTATTCCTTACTAGATGCTATACATCCAAAGGACCAAAGGCACACTACGTGTTTGTGAGTGACAAAACAAAAATTAGTTCCTAGATACAATTCCTTACTTGTAACTAATATTGGCGAAATCGTTTATCGTACAGCTCTCTCCAGGCCTGTGTTAAATAAAAGTGAGGATCTTAAAGCCAAATTCTTCTCTGCAGACATTAACATTTTTTCAATTTCAGTAAATTAAAAAGCTTTATGGAAAAAAACAAGAAAAGGTGTGCCCTAAGGATAAGAGTTTAAAAAAGCATCACTCAGAGGTGTTACTGCTCTTCAAGGCACTACAATGAGCTCATGCCCACGCATCACCCAAAGGTGACTGGCTGGTGCAGGGAACGACATCCTTTGATAAAAACACCACCAAAATTCCAGTAATGATGATTTAGCCTGCAGCAGTACTCAAGGCCTGCCAGTGTTCATGTACTACTTTGGCATTTTGACAACTATTTTTCTATTATATCGAGCAGAAGCTAAAGCAACTTAATCTGTTTTACTGGAGGAGATAAGTGGGTTTAACACTCTGCTCTGCTGGAAAGAAAACGTGTCTTTTGAGGAGTCAACACTGGACTCAGATGCTCTATGGCAATTCTGGATGAGGCACTCTTGCCTAGCAGTGCTACTGCTTCTCCTCTGCCATACCACTTGATACTTTTTCTTTAGATAATGGTGGATTTATCCTGCAAGTTGATCACTGTTCTTCAAAGTCTGAAGTCCATCTCACCTTGCTTTAGGCTTCTAACAGGGCTTCTAACTAGCATCCCTGAGCTTCCTCAGTCTTTCTGAGGAGTGATGAGATTTTGTCAAAGATAAGTGTGACACACAAACTGTAACTAAGACACACACAAATCTGTTGTGTGTGGGCTACAAAGAGACAAACTTCAGAGCCCAGTGATCATAAATCTGCCTGTAAGCCTAGGCAATGGTACGTACAAAGAGAAAGTGTTTTCATGTATTAATTAATACATACACATACTAACATACCAAATCAAGAAAGCAGTTCAAAGAATAAGACACAATTATCTTGTCTGCAATCAAAAGGCAAACGAGATTAATGGATATTCATTTTGTTCTGCTACCAAGGGCAGAATAGAGGACTCCGCAAAATTTTGTTGGTAACTCTTCTATGTAGTGACTTCTCTATTTAGTATCCCCAGGAATGAAACAACAATTATGAGGTGAGCCTTTTATCACTTGCATTTCAAGGAGGCTTAAACAAAGACGTTCAGAAATGTTTTGAACACAAACTCAAAATTTGTGTTTTTGATGGTTTCAAAGAACTTCTGGATGCCACTTCAGGTCCTTTTTTGCTCATGCTTCCTGGTTAAATTCAGAAGCTAGAAAAAGCTTTTACCAACTAAATATAAAAAAACCTAGGTGCCTCCTATTCACAGGCCCACTTTCACTTCAGTCTACACAGGTAACAAAACAACCTGGATAGACTGACTTTCATCTTTCAAGCACCTCTAACTTAACAATGAAACCTGAGAAAGCACAACTTGAAATATGCATGCAAACCACTGCAGGCTGCACTTTTGTCTCCACTGCACCCTTCCTGGCACTGCTTTCTGTTCCAAATCAGAAAAAAACCCCACATTTATCAGTCCTAATCCAGTTAGAAAGCAGTAATAGCAACATTTTAACTTCTTTCTGTTAAACACATGATCTTAAATATTTATGAGACTACAACTTCCTAATTTTTTTTAACTCTTACTTTCACAAAGCAATTGGAACAATTTCTCAAACTTTAATAAAAGCATAATTAGGTTACTTCTGGTTCACCTGAAACATTACTGTTTGCTTTATATTATGGTATAATGTATTAATCAAACAATGCCACTAGTCCTTCCACTAAAATTTTTATTTTTAGCTAAAGTTCTACTTCTCTAGTAAAAAACAATTTTTTTCTTATTCATGTAAGTGACATCATGGTTCCTGACACCACCCTTGGGACACTGTCAAGTTGCAAGACTGTCTCATGAGTTTGCCTCACTACATAGAAAAATCCAGAACCTTAAATTGAACACTTCTGATTCTTAAGTGAACTTTTTTTTTTTTTTTTAAAGCAGCATTGAACTGTGAGTGCTTGCAATTTACATCTGTTTTTAGTCTGTATTGGCTGGCAAAAGCAAGCAAAAGAAGTCGTGGACTGGCACAAACTTAACCCTCCTGAATAAAAAAGAATTCTTGAAAACTACAATCTGGCTGCCAGAAGAGTTTCAAGCTTGTGAAGGACTCCATGTTAAGTTTAAACTGGATTTAAGGAAAGCTGACTAATTTAAGCATTTTCACACTGTATAATGATTATTTCTGGACAGGAAGGTTTCTTTTCCTCCAGTACTTTCACAGTCACACAAAGACAATTCTCTACAGAAATATGAAGCATGCTATTTAAAAGCACTTGATCCAGCAAGTTCTAGCAAAGATAAACTATCCTGGTCTTTCTCATTATTTTCAGCCACTTGTACTACTCTTGCTGTATTTTAAGCACATATTGAAGCTCATAGTGTTTTATTTCTTTATTAGCTAAAAATGTCAAAGCCATACTAAGCTCTGGATATGTACATTCCAAGAGCAATGACTGCAACTACTTAAGGGAAAGAATCCTGATGTTAGGAATTTTCTGAAAACATGTGAAGTTAATAAATTCCATGATGAAGATTATTTGTGATCTCAGTGCCTTCCTCCATCTTTAGCACCTCCTACATTCACTAAAACTTACTCTGTCTTGACTGAAATATTTAAGCTATGGGGTCAAATGGAACAAGCATGACTTAGACTTTTATCTATAAACTAGTGGTCAAGATTATATGCCATACATATCCACAGGACTACACCCTCACAATCTTATCTTTACCACAAGATTGTCCTATGTACAATTTTGATGAAGGGAGTTTCTTCTGTCATTCTACTCATTTGGGTACAGCACAGAATACCATATATACCGAATTCCCTCAATTCCAAAATAAATAAAAGCAATCAAAAGTACTTTTAAGACAGCCTGCTCTAGGCTAGAGTAAAAAGAAAGAAAGAAAAGTCTCTGCTCCATCTTGAGTACCATTTTCATACTTTGCGAGACTGTGTTGTATAAAAGGGGTTTTTTTTCTTTTTTTGTTTAATCAGCTTTGCTCTCATAAGTAAGATCTGGAAAAATTTCTAAAAAATGGTAAATCACTGATAAAGGTAAGTGTACCTGTAACTATATTAATTTGCACTAAGAAAAACAGTGCCAGTTACAAATTGTGCAGATGCAACAAAAAACAGTTCTTGTTTTCTTGTTTCTTCAGGGTATGATAAAGGAATCAACACTAAGACACTTCAAGAAAGAAGACAACACTAAGACAAACACAGCTGATGCATTTTTTTCAGCTTGACAGGTATGCCTCCCATCCTAATCATGCACACATGCCCTTCTTCCTGATTTGTATATCAATTTGATCTCCTGTTCAGGTCCTACACTCTGGTTTCCACTCCTTAGATATTAATTAATTTTCTGAACAGTAATGCATGAAACAATCAACATTAGTTACACTTTTCACCAAGAAATGCTTAAGGGATTGTGAAATAAGAGCTCAAACAATTTTGGCCTTAGCTAGGTATCTTAACTTTGGTATGCCCCCAACTCCTACCAAAATCCCATACACAGCTTGCTCTAACTTTTCACGCTGGAGTAAAGTCATAACCAAGAAGCTAGACCTGTGCTGGTCTGAGCAAATTTGTCTTGAGTTGCACACAGGGGCATGAGGTGAGAGGAGAAAGTCAAGTACATGACTACCTCCTAGGAGATCTGCTTCCCTCTGCGTTAACCTTGACTGGATGCACAGTGACTCAGCTCACATCTGACCTTCTCCAAAGACAACATTCAGGGTCTATACCTGCTCCAAGCTACTGGCTGCCACACCGGACCAAATCCAAACCAAAAGCTCCCCCCTGAGATGATCTGTTGGGTTAACTGCTTAAAGTGAGCCCTTAGGGCAGCAGAGGGATGCAAGCAGTCCTGAGGGAACACAGCACACACAGCAGCCACCCCCTGCCCCAGATGCAGCCTACCGTGCCTTTATCCTGAAGGCACATCATCAGAGTGCAGACGTCACCCGTCGCTTGGTGGTTCACCAGCACCATGGCTTCATCTTCTGACACTGCTTTAACATCATCACCCCATTCCACTACTATTAAAAAAAAAACCAAAAAAAAAGGTAAGTTTAACAATGAGCACACAGAAATTTTTCTGTCAACAGAAGAAAACAAAACGACCCCACACCCAGACTATAATCATAAAGAAGCCTACGTGCTATATGTCAATTTAAATTGGCACATAGCATAAGGCAGGAATATTAGCAAGACTGTTTTTCCAAGCAGAGGGTACTCCAGCTTTGAAATTGCATGCACAGAATAAAAACAGAACAAAAATACTCTACCAGAACATGTGCAGAGAGATTGATCTTTTTGTGTCATTATACCATTCTACATTTAGGGCCTGAAAATTACATAAGCTTTTTGACCCAGCTTTCGTATTCATCTATCTCACCTCATCTCATTAGATTAAAAACAAAATTATATTGCCAACAGTGGGTTTTGCTGGCTGGGCTTGTTTGTTTTTTCTTTAAACTTAGCAAGGTTTTTTTTGTTTCTCCACTCACTATTATTATTCTACTCCAGTAAAAGCAAAACAAAAAAAATCTGTATTTGCATCATTAGGTTTAAAATGCTACGTTAAACAAAATCATTCATTCAAATCCAAGTGAGTTAGCTATAGGCAAGGAAGTGGGTTCAGAAAATGCTGCTCAGATGACATTAACCTATTAGTTAGTATTTTGTAGACCAGAGACCAGATGCTCCAGTGGCAAGAATGATGTCAGAAGGAAGATACAGATGTTTAGCATCCAACACTTACACGGACTATCAAAACTGTGCCGAGATTAGGAAGAGGGGTTAAAATTGATAGTTCCATCATCATGAAGTAACTAAGTGGAGAAAGAGAAGACTGTCTCTCAAAGAGCACAGGATGGGAAACTAGGAAGTGTGTGCCACAAACTAAAGACCAGAATATGTCTAATGCTGCTATTGGGGCAAAAAGACAAGTGGGTAGAGTCTCTTTCTTCCATGAGAGGGATGGACACTGCAGTTCAGGGTAGAGGGAAAGGATGAACAGGCAGAGGAGCTCTCTGAAGTTCCAAAAGAAAAATAAGATGCACTGCCTGTGCACGTAGGGTATAATTTTTTCTGTGTTTGTTATGTACCTTAAGTGGTTCCTACTGGCTATTGTTTTCAGTTCTGACAATGATGGAAAGATTTCACCTGCACTACTGACTCTTTTGTACTGTTAGAAGTTCTTCAGACAGTAAAAACTCTCAGCACAGGCCAATTACTTTACTATCTGTCTTTTAATAGATGGTTTAACTGATGCAAAGGTAATAGGCTACACAGTGATCACAAGAAGCAATAATCCATGCATAGCTTCCCTGTCCTTGAAGAAATCAATTAGCACCACACTTTTGAAAATTGCCACTTTATTACTTTCTAACAGCTCCAAAATTAGTACTGAATTGAGACTTGAACACAAAATTTTAAAAATGCTGTATTTGGTCACAAGTAGACAAAATCAGAATAGAGGTTGAAGGTCTCTGCTAGAAGGTGAAGAGGACATTCCATAATGTTTAACCTCCTCTTCTTTCCCTGAAAAAGCTAAGCACAGATCTTTCCTTATTTTTTTCACCACAAACTTGCAAATTCCCTGTGATGTCCTCTCTAATGCCATGAAAGCTGGAAAATGCTTGGCCATGGCAGTCGTAGCTGACTGCACACCTTCCTTATCAAGTATTTCACATATCTCAGTATGGCAGTATCCCACAGAGCAAGAAACCAAGATGAAATGAGAATTGCTTTAAAGGGAAACTAATCAACCACATACCGACTTTGAAATTATTATGTCAGTGTTTCTATTAAGCAGCCAATATATAGTAGTCTTACTGAACTGTGGCTTTCTAAAAGTAATAAAAATTAAGTACTAAATATATCAAGTATCTACAAAATCATGTTTCTCACAAGTAGCTAATTGTTTCCAAACAAAACTATCTTATTTCTAGATCACTCAGAGAAAATAAATGCATTCCTTTATTAGAGATCTTTCCCAGGAACATAGCAATCTAATACTAATAATTTAAACTGTGGAACAGTTTAAAATGAAGCTCTTCAAAAATGATTCAAAGATCTAACTTTACAATGGATTAAAATAAATGTCATAACTGAAAAATATAAGCGATGAGAAGCAGCATATAATTGAAAACAATTCAAGAGAAGAATTTATGAAGCTTAATTTGCTACTAAAAATGTACACTTTTAACATACCAGGTGAAGACTAATGTCCGACTTTGAAACTTTCAGATAGGCCCAGTGAAAGAAACATGGGGAAAAAAACCTCTCATTACCTGTTTTACCTACTGTTGTTAAATACAAGAGGGTATAAAACAAACAAGCAGCTCACAATGCACTAATAGGATTCAGCTGGTAAGCAAGAAAAAGGTGGGCTATGTGATCCCACTCCAAATGCAAGGTGAAGAAAAATGAAGTTTGATTTAATTCTTCAACTGATTTACTCCACTCATTTTACCTATCAACCAGCCAGGATAACAGCTCAACTTCTGCCACTCAGCTGACAGGTAGTGGGTTATTAAATCCCGGTGTATCCTGGCCCTCCTCTAGCTTCTTCTCCCTCTGTCATTCCTCCTCAGGCAATCAGGCTGTCTCTTGTGCTTAATAATGCTTTATGGTCAATTGATTGACCTGATTATCAAGGAGAGGAGAATCACCTTGTGCAAGTCCTTCACAGAGCATCTCTGCATTGAAAAGAGAACAGCAAACCACAAAAGCGTGCAGAAAAACGACTGCCGTTACTACGGTTTTTGAAAGAAGAAAAAAACCAAAACCTCAAGTCCCTAGCATTTTAAGTCCATGGTGTCCCTTTAAATTCAGTGGGGGGAATAAATGCTTATCATCAATTTCCTCTGCACACAAAGGAGAACCTTTTGCTTTAATACTTGCACTATTACAGTTCTCCGCTGCAGTTGGAAACATGGAAATCAAAACCCCAGCATGGCAGCAGAACCAACAACACTGCTTTCCTCTACTCTAAGAAGACAAAAAACAGCTCAAAGACAAATATTTGTCACTTGGGGACCCAAGATCCAGCAAACTTTGCTCCACAGCTGTCTCCACAGAGCACATTTTTTAAAGACAGTAGTTCTGTGTCTACAGCCTGACAACAGTTAGACTTCTGCAAATGCAGTTGAACATAGCAAAATAATATAAAGGGAGGAAAGAGCAGGAAATAATTTTAATGTGGCAATACAGATGTGACTGTAGTAGCTGTAAGAGAGACTTCATGTGACTTCAGGTTGTGAGCAAAAGGATGAAGACAATTTTCCTTGCAATTACATGAGCCCCAAAACAGAAATATTTATCCTTCTCTCATAAAAAGAAGTCCAAGATGTAGAACATCAAGAAAGTATTTTGTCTAATGAGCTGCAGATTTAGATTTTTATGATCCAATCCTTATATAACTTAAAGAAGGGAACAAAAGTAATAGAATTTTTCCCATATTTTTACTGAACTATTACTAGCTATTGAGACACTTGGCTACTTTGTAATCATGTCCTTAATGTAATTGTCTGCATGCAAGTGCTGCTATGAATAAATATTCAAGCACTTCAATTACAGTATGTCACTATGCTGAGCAAAGGACTACTAACCTAACAAAAAATTCAGTAGATTTATTTTATAGTTTTGAATATACCTGGAAGAATGGCAGTCTACTGATCTGTGCAACTGCCCAGACATTAATATGAAAAACTTCATTTTGCATACTGTATTTAACACTTAAAAAATGCTCCGAAATTTTCAGCATCTCTTCCTTGTAATAGTCAGTAGTTACAGTGTGTGCCCTGAGAATTGGCATAGATGTCCTCGGCCTCATAACAACTTACATCTAAATTATTATTTCAAAAGGTACTGAGTTTAAAAGACTGACATTTTATGGCAAGATCAGGGAAATGACCTTAAGCATTCTAATCACAACTATTGAAACACAAATCACCTAAAAATTACAGTAGACGCAAACATGTAATTGATTTGGATATCCACTTTATTTGCTATTGGACTTGAGTCCATACAATATTCACAGCTTTCTCTAGAAACTGGGAGAGGTTTAGAAGTCACTGTAGAATTTTCCACAGAATCACAGAATGGGTAAGGTTGGAAGGCACCACAGTGTCTCATGCAGTGCAACCTCTCTGCTCAAGCAGAGTCACCCAGAGCACACAGCACAGGATTGTGCCCAGACAGTTCTTGAGCATCTCCAGTGAGGGAGACCCCACAACCTCTCTGGACAGCCTGTTCCAGTGCTTGGTCACTGTACAGTATAGAAGCTCTTCCTCATGTTCAGGTGGAACTTCCTGTGCATCAGTCTCTGCACATTGTTCTTGTCCTACTGCCTGGCACCACTGAGAAGAGCCTGGTCCATCCTCTAACACCTCCCTTCAGATACCTAGGTAGATTGATGAGGTCCCCTCTCAGTCATCTCTCTCATTTTTTCCTCCTAAGAGAGATGCTCCAGTCCCTGCATCATCTTTGTAGACATCCACTGGACCAGCTCCAGGAGATCCATTTTTCTCTGGTACTGAGGAGCCCAGAACTGTACAGAGCACTCCAGATGTGGCCTCACTAGAACAGAGATGAGGGGCAGGATTACCTCTTGGCAATGCTCCTTCTAATGCATCCCAGGACAGCTTTGACCTTCTTGGCACAAGGGCACTGCTGTTCAAGGACAGCCTTGTCCAGAAGGACCTCCAAGTCATTCTCAGCTGCTTTCCAGCAGGTCAGCTCCCAAACTGTGCTGCTGGTGCACAGCTCCACCTCAGCTACAGGACCCTGCTTTTTCAGACCCATCCTTTGGTTATTTTCCTTCTGATGACTTGTATCCATGTCACAAGACTTCATGAAAACTTGTTCCAAGAAGCTGCAGACTGACAACTCTTAGAAATGAACAGAACCACCTTTTGTTGATCGATTAGAAACCTTAAGCAACAAATAAACAGCATTACTGAGGAACAGCTTTCCTCAAAAGCCACCCTGCTATCCAGCAGAAAGAATGTTATTGTTAGGTGTTCAGCAG